TAAGCCCCGACAGAGGGAGACTCTTCCTTCGCGTGACTTTTCTCCCTCTGCAACTGACAAATGGCTTTCTTCTCCCCTTGTCTTAGCAGGTGTCTTTCATACTGTTCCTGTCGGCGGGAGATATATGCATCCCGTTTTGGTTTTAACGTATCTCTCTGCCAGGGCGGTATCTCAGGCGCTGACAGGGAGTGAATGTTTACAGAGAATAATACGGCCAGTAACCGTAAATCTCGGCTTGCTGATGGGACACAAAGCGTAAATAACTGCCCCGTGGCACCAACATCCTCACCTCAGTACACCCCCCTCTGTGTCAACCAATCAATCCCTGGCCAATCACTTGCATCCCTCTTGGGTCGTTGCGTATGGCGGGTAACAAGGGGCGAACCGGTGGGCTAGCGGGAGATTATCGCAGGCTCAACTGGGCAGGTTGGTCGAGCTCGAATCGATCCAGGGGAGCTTCTCTCAGCAGATCGGTGAAGATGAGGTCAGTGCTGCCCTGCAAACACAGTCGGTCAATTCAGGATCTATTCAAGCACAAATTAAACAGAGGGCAGCATCTATGGTTCACTGATGCAGAGAAACAAAAACATTTTCATTTAAGGGTTAATAATAAGACTATTGTAGAACTTACACATAAATATGTACAATGTCAAATAGGGATTTGGGACAAACCTGCACTTGACCGCTCATTGGCCTTGGCAGACCAGCAGAGAGATTATTGTAGCTGTAGCAGCGCTTTCTAATCTCCACTGATCGAACAATACAAATATGTGGATTTCACTCCAACATACAGCACATCAGATTATGGAGGAGGAAAAAGCTTTGGCCTCAGTTTAAAGGTGACTTTCTACATTTCAAATGAACACGTGGCACTCAAGTCTCTGTTATGCCACTTTTCAGCTAAGAATATCTCTCAATAACCCAGACTCAACACCTCACCCTCCTGAATTATTTAATAACTGCTGCTTCAGTAGCAGCTGTTTTTTTGTTTTTTTGATAAACTGGAGAAGGACAAGAAAGGGAATTCGGAGGCAAGCAATTGAAGGGTCGGGTTACAAATCGTTCACTCACCAACAAGCGCAACAAGCGGCAATGGCGCTCCATGCTGGGAGAGTGGGGGGGGGTGGGGGGGAACTGGAAAACTGGAACAAAATCACAGCCGAAGAATGAGCCGCGCAAAAGCTGTGCAAACCACGCAAAACTGACTGAGTTAAGTCGAGAGGGAAGGGCATCCCTCAGCGGGAGGACCTGCACCCTTTGGCGAACATCCATCTCTCATGTACCCTTGACTCTGTGCTCGCAGACCCACGTGCGCCGCCAGGGAATTACAAATGATGACATGAATGTAATTGTTGTACTAGAAGTCTAACCCTATTAAAAATTGGCACGTAATTTGTGATTCGAAAGCAATTCAGTGTAATCAAATAGGGTGGGATCAGGAGTCAACAACACGCTACTTTTTTCAGCACAAAAAGAGGTGTAGAGTCAATGAATCCGTCCCACACAGGGCTCATTAAAACACAATGGCGCAGTATCGACTCTGCCCTCCATTCTCTTGTGTGTTTGCATGTGTGTCTTTGCAAAGGGGGGGTTGTGGTGCATTGTCTCAAGAGGACAAGGGCTCGGTAAATAAGTCAGCGTTCGACTTCTCCGACAGCTGGGACGAGCGTGGCCGTAGCTTAAGCCGTGGTCTTAAGAACCAGACAGACACACAGCGAGAGGCACTCTGACACATTTGCAGGAGAGGGGGGGGAGAAAAAAACAACCTCACCACAACAGCTCATTCAGCAACAGCCTGAGCAATCTGTGTGGTCAAATTAGTGATGTTTCGGCAACGGCTTCACTGCCGTCACACAGGAGAATACACAGATGAATACACTGCCATTTGCAAATTATGATCTCTATTCATTTCCCGGGTTAGTTTGATGTGGCGGGGGAACAACAGCGGGACCTCTGTGACATTAAGCTCATTATGTCTAGACGGAGCAGAACTCCTATTCTTCCCAGTTCCACTCCTGGATGAGATTACAGTGCCATCTTTTATTCCAAAAGGGCCGGGATGTTGCGATCTGATGTCTGAGTCATGTGTACGGGCTTTTCGGATAACCCTCAAAGCTCTCTCTCTCTCTTTCTCTTTTCTCTGTCTCAGGACCCTGCCCCCCACCCCGGCCCACGCCGGACCGCCCGCCGAGGCACGGCGGGGCTGCCGGGTCATACTTAACACCAGCCACAGCCTCTCCCCTCTTCTTCGCTCTGCTCCCATCCCCCATCCCACCCTCAAATCTGCATTACAATGAAGGCGGTATGGTGGAGGAGTAGGGGGGGGGGGGGGGGGGCGTTGATTCTACCAGCATCAAAATGATGGCTGTTTTTGTCGGCTTCAACGAGTCCAACATGCAGGCTCTGCTCAACATTGCTGCCGTCCTTTCTTCTTCCTCCTCCTCCTCCTCCTCTTCCTCGTTTTTTGCCAGAGCCCGACGGACAGGCTGCTTCTGCGGAAGCCATGCCTAGCGCTCTGTTTGCCTGCTGGTGAGGGCCTTTTTAACAGTCAATATGCCAGTTGATTGAATTAATTAGCATTACAAAGAGCTTTCTTTTAAGTCTACGCACCCTTATCCCGAGTGAAGAGGCCTCTGCACCTGATTCTCCTTGTAATTAGGTGCTTGGCAATGCAAATATTGTAATTCAGACTCATGAAACCAAAAGCACATGTTTGCTTGGATACCACGCTTGTATTCACATGTTTTGAAACTGTAATACGGACAATAATAATCATTTACAGCGATATTTCTTATCGTACACGGAATAGCATAATGCATTTAATTTTGGGCTCAACTGATGAACCAGATTTATAGTAGTGTGTCACCATAGAAAACACAAGGGACACAAGCTGCACTTTTGTTTTTGGGATTGTAATAACTGACTAAGTGGAGAAACCAGGGAAATGACATATTCATCCCGCTCATATGCAGAGGTAATGAGTTCAAGGTGACTGTTGATGAAGAACTTTTCTCTTCTCCCTCAAGGAAAAGGACCCCCAGAGACATGTTTTTCAGATCGTTCTCCCTCGCTCCACTCCTCCTCCCTCCCGCTGTTTTTACCCCCCTCTTTGTACTTGTGATGCTCATCAGTTTTCTTGCAGGGGCAGAAAGAGAAGAACAATGAAGGCTTTAAGCAGGATTTGAGAGCTCATCCTGTGTCAGGGCATGAAAAGTGGCCAATCGCACAGACAGGGGCATTGACCAGAGGAGAAGTGCCATGTTATTAAAAGTGAGAGAAATAAGTAGGCAGGTCGAGAACAGAGAAAGTCCTCCTCAATGAAATTAGGCGTTGTCATCACCTCGGTACGTGCAACACGAGTGTGTGTTTGATGGCTTGCCGACGCCGTCTAAGGGAAACAAATTGTAACGCTAAAGCTCGTCAATGAAAGTGCATCATCTCGCTGTTTCCGGTCTGCATGATAAGCTAAGCTAGTCGTTTAGCGTACAAAGACGAGGTCCTCTCAACCTTTTCATATTTACAGAACAATAAACAATAAAACAAAACTTTGCCTCCACTGAGTTGTATACAAACAATATGGGCCACAGATGTTACACAAGTAAGATAGTTTCTATTCCTGATTTGAACTTCGAAATAAGGTGTTTTTGTCATTTTTCAGTTATATTTACTTTCAAGGAAGATTTTTATATGCATTTTGGTTGTCAGAAATACTAATGGAAATCTAATCTGATCTAAAACGTATCCACATTTATAAAGATATCACTGAAGTCTACGATGAATGCCTGACGAAATGAGGAAAAACCAAGTCTCCTCATAGTGGGTCGGTTGCCCTGCTGTGAAAATATCTCTTTCTTCTGCTCATCAAACCAGGATCATCCCTTTGAAATGGGACAAGCTCAATATACGGACCTCATCAGAACGAGGACGGCCCACATCACAGAGAAGCTCAGCCGGATGCAGCCCGTTCTCGGGGCATGCCCCGGCTGTGGCGAGTGAGCGTGCGAGGTCGCCCTCTGCTCCATCGGTCCGGTGGAAACGGTTACAGAGAGAGAGATGTGGAGCTATAAGTGCCTCAAAGTAAAGTTTAATGGGGTCCCATAAAGATGAAAAGAGAGGCATTTTGTCGAGACGGGTTCGTCCGGGATACAAATGAGGGTCTTGTCGATGGGAAAAAGGGGATAACTTGGTTAAAGCGCCACAACTAATAACAACAATTCGCAAACGAGGCCTATTTCTCAGCCTAAAACACAGTGATCCCCCTGACCTCTCCGGGGGTTGCAGGAGGAAAGCAAGAAAGAAAAAGAAGAAGAAGAAGAAAAAACGCTGCGTCATTTCTGCGGTTGTGGTGATTCGCTCGTCTGGCCGGGGGACCTCATTACGGGCTGACGGGCTGATTCAATGCCTCCCTGTCTGGTGTGACAAAGCGGGCCCGGTGCCTTCTCAGGGTCTCCGCCGAGTGCACGGCGTTATGCAACCCGTTTACTCTCGGAGAGCACGGGCCCGTCACTCAGAAATCCAGGGTGGAGGCCACCAGTGGACTCTTTGGTGCTTTTCAAAGCATTTTCTGCAGCAACAACAACAACAACAACAAAAAAATCTGATCGTCGAAATCATCTGTAGGTTTTTCTTTGAAACCGTAAAGAAGTTACCGCCTAGGTACACACAGCGAGGGGAGTCTGAAGATCCTGAGGCTTAGGAACCAACTGTCTGATGATACGGTGTTTTTCTCACTACCACATGCGAAGCATGAATCATATGATTTATGCCATCGTGTCTCCGTCGTACGTTTCGACATGTCGTCAGTGAGCTGATGAACAAAGTTAAAAAAAAAAAAGTTGCCAGACATGCGGGACAGCAGGCCGCTGCAGTGACAGAGAGGGAGGGGCGCAGAGGGAGGCCCGTCCTCCGACAGCCGATTGGACGAAACCCGGCGGCCGCGCCCACAGGAGGAGACTCCCGTCGGGTTCGAGGCGCGGTAGAAATACTCACAGCCTCATCGGCGACCTCCTTTAATTTGAGCTCAGCCACCGTGGGGTCCGCACGCACCGAAGAAGGGGGATCTTCTCATTTGCAGACCAAGCCAAGGGACAGAGGGACATCCGGGCGGATTTTTTTCATTTCTTTGGGCAAAACCTTCCCCATCCCGGCGCTGGATTTTTAAACCGCTTACACCTCGAGGTTTTTTCTTTTTCGATTTTTCTTTTTTTTTGTGTGTGTGTGTGTGTATTCCCGGCAACCTCGTAGAGAATGGGAGCCCCGTTGTCCAAGGGAGGAGTAGCTGCTGAGGGGAAAGCCGCCGCCGCCGTCGCCGCGGACCCCGCCGCCGCCAAAGCCAACGGCCAGGTGAGTTAAAAGTTAACGGCCCGCACGTGCTCCGAACCAGCGGGGAGCCACATGGCACCCGACGCCCACCGGCGAGCATCGGGGGGCACGGCGAGGTGAACCCCCAGCTGTTGCTCCACCAAGCTGCGGGCACGGAGCGGAACGCCACCCCCCACCCCCCACAGCTCCCCATTCCTGCGCGATCCCGCGTGGCTACACAATGAATGAGTGAAATAATGTGCGAGGGTTCTTAAAAAAAATGCGGGTGAGAGGCGATGCGCGTCCTCGCTCGGCGCGCACCAGAACCGCCGGTGCCCGTGTGGTGGTGTGGTGTGTGGTGGGGGGGTTGGGGGAGCAAAGTTACCCGCACAATTCGACGCATAAACCCGACCGATTGTGTTCCGAACGTGTTCTCTCTCATGAGTTGTGCGCGATCGCTCTCCACGTCGAACAAAACGCGAGAAGCTGCAGCGATGCAAATCCGCGCTGCTATGGAGGCGCGGTTTTTTTTTTTAAAATGTATTCGCAAACAAAGCAAGAGGGTTTCACTAAACTCCAACGCCTCCTGCATAGTGGAGTCTGGTTGTTCGACTACTATCGATAAGGAATGTTTAGTTTATTTGATTAAACGCAGATCAGACTGCTTTATCCAATAAAGTCGGGGGCGCTGATGTTGGACGGACGGGGGGTCCACATTATGATTATAGTCGATTAATTGAATAAAACTCTTTTGGCCGACGTGTGCCGGTTGTTCTCTGCGGAGCAGCGACGGCTGATGGACGGAAGCAGCAGCTTTTGTGGGGATTCCTTTGTTCCCCAACTTGCCGGCAGCGTCGAGGTTTTGAATGCAGCACTACTGCCCCCGCGTGTCTGCTTGGTGGTATTGCAAACAGCTGTCCACCCCCCCCCCCCCCCACACGCGCACACGCCGCCACTCGTTTCAGGGCGCGCAGCTTCGCTCAAGTATAAAATGGGATTAACTATTGGGAGTAACTAGGCTAATCGGTCAGATGCCTCCTAGATGTATTTGGAACGCTTTGGGCGTTTTGGTCCAGTTCGTCCATCTGTTCACCCACACGCCCTCGTTTGTGGAGGCAACGTTGTTATTTCGCGCCCCGTTCGAGCGGTGACATTGGCGGCTAACGAGTTCTCTTCTCTTTGCAGGAAAACGGCCACGTCAAAACCAACGGCGACGTGTCGGCCAAGCCCGACGGGGAAGCCGCCGCCGATGGAAACGGGACGGCCGAACCAGCCAAGGAGGGCGAGAACGGCACCGGCGACGCCATCGAGCCGGCCCCGGCGGCCGAGGGCGAGGCCGCCACGCCAGAGGGCGCCAAGGAGGGCAAGAAGAAGAAGAAGTTCTCCCTGAAGAACTCCTTCAACTTCAAGGGCATCTCGCTGAAGAAGAACGCCAAGAAGGTCAGCGAGGAGGCGGCCTCCCCGACAGCCGAGGACAAGCCCGAGGAGAACGGCCACGCGGCCAAGGAAGCCAAAGAGGAGACGCCGGCCGCAGAGGCCAAAGGGGAGGTAGAGGAGGAGGGGCCCGCCGCCGCAGCCGCCGAGGCTGCACCCGAAGCAGAGGCCAAGGAGGATGCGACCCCGGCGACTGACGCCGCACCCGTCGAGGAGGAGGCGGCAGCAGCCGCCGCCGCCGCCCCCGTCGAGGATACGACACCCGCGGCTGCCGAGGTCGAGGCGGAGTGACTTCACCTCCCCCTTTCCCAGCCCCCCTCCCCTCCCCCTTCCACTCCCTCGCCGTGGCACCTGAACTGATTTTCCAAGATTAAAGTATATAAATATATATATGAGAGACGCGTGCCACGTTCTTAAAGAGTTAAAAGTTATAAAACAAAACTAGGAAAGAAGACAAAGGATATATCACGTCTGCTGATTCAACCACCAGTTCACTGCCTTTTTTATTAGTTTTTTTTTTCGACAGACGGAACCTCCCCGAGCCCCCTCGTGATCAAGGCGTCGGCGTGTGTCGCCCCCCCTCGTGGAACACACGGGGGCCGGCGTGTGTGGCGAAAGGTAAATGCATCGGATGTGGAACGAATCAGGAATACTGACTTATTTTCCCAGTTCACGGAGAAGCATCCTTTTTTTTAACAGCGTGGCAGCCCTATAACATTTTTATTTTTTTGGGGTGGAGGGGTCTAAAATTGTCACCGTAAGGGGCAGAGCATCCCCTTCACCCAAAATGACTGTTATATGGACATTTTATTCATTCATTTTAGAATTCTACATTCCCCCCTCCCCCCCAAATTTCAAGTATTTTGTCATGTATAGAAAAGTGAAAAATCAAGGAGGGGAGGTGGAAAATGAGCAATGTCTTTCTTCATGCGTTTCAATTCTTTTTCTTCTGCTTCAAACACATTCAAGCTTCATGAGTATTGCAGCGTTCGCATTTCAGAGTTTATGATGCAAGGGTTGTGTACAAAATGTGAGCTTTTTATCTGCAAAACCGTCTCTGTACATATGTTTTGGCCAATATTTTTGGTTCTCTTTATTTTGCTATTGTTTGAGGATGTTGATGGTTTTATTGTAACTTTTAATAAGGGTAAATAAATGTTCGATCCCCTCTGTCTGTGTTTTGCCTTTTTCATTCGCAACGGAAGACTATGTGGTCGCGTCAGTTATTCCAGCCTTGTGCATGTGCAAACATTCAGTTAAGTGCACATTAATAAAATAACATGCACCAGGGTTAGCCAATATGCAATTTTTCACTGGCAGTCGCCAATGTTACAAGAATAACTTACAAAGAAGATACGCTTGTACAATGCGTCCACAGAAATGTGATAATAAAACTGAACTGTCATTAAGTAACGTGCAACACATGAGGCTCTCAAAGTCAACCCACACTAAAATAAAATGTGGGATGATTGAACCCAGACTCGAGTGCGGTTATATTCTAGTGTTAACACAAACCATTTCTTTAAACTGACTGATGGAGATTGTGGTGCACATTGTACTGAAAATGCTGACTGAAAGCACTTTTTCTTGAGTGGGATGATGCAATGCCCTCTTGTGAGCCGATATCCAGTTCTAAATGCATTAAATATCCTAATTCTGAAAATCAAGGAATTGACTGTTGCTTGGTAACTCCAAGCGGGCTTGAAGCATTAGAGCACGTGAACCACTTGCTGAGTCATACCTGACTGGTGCTCTGCATATAACACTCCTGTATATACCTGCACAAATACTGTCTTCAAGGCAGCTTCAAGACTATCCTTTTAGCACATTATGCGCACATCTCATTGCATAATTTTACACTACTTACATTTTAATCCAAATAGTCGAATGTGCAGGTCTACAGTTGGTCTCTGGCTCCCTGTTGAGGACAGAAATATGTTTGGTTCGCGAGTCACGTTGTTGTCAATAGACATTAATGTCGCTTCACACGTTGCTCGTGTTCGGCTGTTAAAAAGTATTCCTTTCCCCAGGAGACGTTGGTGGATCTGCGTAAAGTGTATCCGTGACACACATTCTGGTACTTGTCAATCTGCACGAGGTAAACTCAACGTGAGACGAGGTGGCCGAGTGGTTAAGGCGATGGACTGCTAATCCATTGTGCTCTGCACGCGTGGGTTCGAATCCCATCCTCGTCGGATATTTTCACGTAAACACGTAAAACATTTATTTCTGTCTTTGATGTAACAAGGAGCAGACAATACAGCAAGCAACTACCTTGCGTCAGTTTTCCTGCACTGCCCCAACACGTGCAGCCTTCATCAATGCGGCCAGGTCGCGTGCACAGGTTGATATTTACCACTTACCTTGATGAATGATAAACAACTCTTCCTTGTGACATGGAAGATGACATATTTATACCCAACATGTTTATAGATGTACAGACGTGTTAAATGCTTCCATCTGGTGGTCACAGAATATAATGAACTTCTTTTTCAGTCGGACCTTTGTTTGACGGCGTTCTGTGAGGAATAAGTGTATTACATCCAACAAAACAAGGTTCAAAAAGTAAAAACAGGTAAGGGTATAAATGTTTGAACCAATATATATTTATTTTAGGTATTTTAGTAGGTCAAAAATGTTTTGGAGAAAAAGTGAAAACATAATGGAAGGATAATAAAGAACATGAAAGTTAGAAAAATGTTATGAAATAAAGGGCCAAAGATGTGATGAAAAAAAGGATAAAAATATTAGCTCAAAATATGTCAGGGAAAAAATATGAGAAAGAAAAATAATGTGGCAAAAAATGTTCTTGCAGATTTCAAAATATGTCATTTAAAAAAAGTCAAATAATATTTCGTCAAAATGTTTTCAGAAAAATGTCAAAACGTGTTGGGTAAGAAAATGTCGGAAAAATAGGCAAAAGATATATTTGTGCGTGTGTGTGTGTGTGTGTGTGTGTGTGTGTGTGTGTGTGTGTGTGTGTGTGTGTGTGCGCGCGCGCTTGTGTGTGTATGTGTGTTTATGTGTGTGTGTTTGTCTTTGTGAATATCTGCAGGAAACTGGAAAATCACTCCTGGAGGATTAAAAGTGGAAAGAGCCCAGGAGAAATTCCAGACTTTATTCATTCATATGGAAAACAAATTAAAAAACGTCCAGAGGAATACATTAAATACAAAAACACTTCAAGTCAAATCAATCACTTTTTATTACAACCTGGCTCTAGAATGAGCTCATATAATTCCTTCATTAGTAAAACTTCACCTACAAGTACAATTTAAAAACTATTGTAATTCCATTTTAACTCCCCAAACATCTTTCTTTGCACATATTTAGATAAGTGAAGTAATTTTTCCTGGACTTTTTCATGCCAAATCGTAACTTTTCAAGATCATATTTTTGTATCGACCTACACATTTAGTATTGCGTTTATGATATTTTTCCGTTTTTGCTTTAAATCATTCTGGCTGAAATTGATTGAATAGCCCCTACAAAGATTATTCGACGCGTCAAAACGAGCTACCACCAACAGAGGTGACCTTATTTTTGATAGGCACAAGGGTCACTATCATAATAATAATTATAATAAGGACAATAGGTCCTCCTCCGGCCCTAATTTAATAATTCGACTTTAACGACCAAAGAATGCTGGATTGCAAGATGTTTTTTCTTTCACCTTTTTATAGTTATTCTTATTAAATATATTTTCATCAATATCAGCACTCCCCTGTCGCTGCTACGCTTGCCCAAAGCGGCTCTGAAATGAACACTTTTCGGCCAGGACCTGAATGCAACATTTGTGACGGCTGAGATCATCCGCCGGGCACTGAGCATGCGCAGTGGACGCGGCTCTGGGAGTGTCTGCGCGGCTCTCTGGAAGGGAATCCAACCCGCAGCCCGCTGAACCCGGGGAGCATCCGCATGAACAATGAACCGGCGAGCGGCGGCTGACCGGAGGATGATTTTGGCGAAACGGAGATGAACTGGACGCCTGAGGAGTGTCGAGGCTGGGGAGGCAGAGGGGGGGTCCGGGGGTTGTTCGGCAGCACAGATTTAGCTGGATATCTGTGGCGTGATTGACCTCTAACGGTACCGGGAATTAGTCATTTCTAATACTTTGTTGTCAATGTTAGCGTTACATTAGTGTTTATTGTTGAACTTTCATAGTATTGTCATTTAAAATAGGCCACACGTCTAACGGCAAATTCACCTCATTTATCTGATCCTTGAATGGCTTGCAGTGTACATCGTTTCACCAAAGAGCTGAATAGTTACTGCAAAGTCCTTCTTTGTTCCAAAAAAAAGGTTATTATTTTATTCCTTTTGTTCACAATGGAGACGCGAGCTGCTTGATGTCATGAGCTGGCCATCTGTTGTGGAAACCCGCTTAGACCTGCAAGCCGATTAACCGGTGAGAGGTTCAAGGCATCGGCGTGGACATTTCTGTGCCTCGGCCTCCTGCTGGCGGAGGGATGCTGAGGCCCGTCGCCGTGGGCTCACTGGAGCAGAGAGACGAGGAGCCCGAGGAGGAGGGCGAAGAAGAGTTGCGGGATGGAGGGGTGCCTTTCTACGTGAACAGAGGAGGCCTCCCGGTGGACGAGGACACCTGGGAGAGGATGTGGCGCCACGTGGCTCGAATACACCCCAACGGAGAAGCTCTGGGGAGGGAGATCCGGGGGAACGCGGAGCACCCCAAGGTAAGGTGTTCGATGCGCGTTGCGTTGCACCTGGTTGTGGGGAAATGTGGCGTTTACAGCGTTGCTATGCGGCCCCCCGTGAACCCGTGCCACTTCATCACAGGGAGCAGAATAAAATGTTGCATGTTTTGTCCGTTCTTGCGTAAGAGCAGTTGCGTCCATCACTTGTCTTGAGAGCAGTTAAAGGCACCGAGGTCACGAGACTGAACACTCCAGGCGCAGGGAGTTTTGGTCAATTACGCAACGGTGATGCAGTTGTTTGGATGCTCTGTCCCACAGATTCCGATGCCGAGTGTGCCTACATACCAACCTACCGCCACCATCCCACAGCGCCTGGAAGCCATACAGAAATACATCAGGGAACTGCAGTATCCTTTGACTAAGTTGGTGTAACCACAACATATCTATTGGGAATGATATATACATACGTGTGTAATAATGTCGAAACTAAATTACATCAATCCCACCGACCACTGTTTTGTCATGCTGATAATTATGGGGTTAACACAGGAAAGTAGGCCACCATTGGCTACTCTATTCTATATTATAGACTTAAGACACATTTCATCCATAGTTAACCAACAACCTATGAATGTCTACCCAAAGCATTTTGCTCTGTTATTTTACGACCTTAACTGTGTCTTTCAGGTACAATCACACCGGAACACAGTTTTTTGAAATTAAGAAGAGCCGGCCTCTTACTGCGTGAGCATATTTCTCTCTTAACCCTTCACCAGCAAGGGACACAGGAGCTCATGGTAGCAGTCACGGGATGTTCATTGTACAATGTTTAGCCTGTGCTGCTAACGCCCAGTGCATGTGTATTACCCCGAGGCTTTGTGGGTAGAAAAACTAATCTCAACCAGCAGCCAACAGGACACAATTTTCCTAAACCCACTGCATTAGACGTAGCCGTGCAAATGTTATTCCCGTGGTGCATGGAAAATATTTTTGTTTTTGTTATACAGTAATAGTGTGCGTGTCATTTGTAGTGACCCTCAGTGCTGCGTTGCATCACAGATAACCCGTTGTTCCGCACAGGTTGATCGACATTGCTAAAGAGATGACGCGGGAGGCTCTGCCAATCAAATGCCTGGAGGCGGTGATCCTGGGGATGTATCTTTACTTCAGCAGGTCATGTTGCATGCCGCTAGATATGCTACGATGTCTTCTGACTGTACTGTATCTTTTCATAGCCTGAGACACTTTCAGCTTGTCTCACGTGTACTTTGACCAGTTTGTAGATGGGGCGGGTTTTAGCTTTTTGCCGGACCTACTGTACGTTGTCTCTCCACGCGTCCTTCTGTCCGTTTCCTTGACCTTCCTCCTAGTTACCTCACCAACAACATGCCCGGCGTGGAGCGCTTCCCCCTCAGCTTCCAGTCGCACTTCTCAGGGAACCACTTCCACCACATCGTGCTGGGCGTTCACAGCGGGGGCCGCTTCGGAGCGCTGGGCATCAGCCGGAGGGAGGACCTCATGTTCAAGGCCCTGGAGTTCCGGACACTGATGGACTTGGTGCAGGAGTTCGAGGGCGCCTACCGGGGCTACTGGCACACCCTGAGCAAGGTCAGGATCGGCCAGTACGTGTCCCACGACCCCCACAGCGTGGAGCAGATCGAATGGAAACACTCCGTACTCGACGTGGACAAGCTGACCAAGGAGGAGCTACGGAAGGAGCTGGAGAGACACACCCGAGACATGAGGCTGAAGGTAGGGGGACGAGGTGGCCATCGGGAAGTGCGTGTTTTCTCAGGCCTTGTGAAAGTGTCGCGGCGGCGGTACAAGCTGAAGGAGCCCCAAGCGGGACGAGCGGACGGCGATGATGAATTCTATTCATCCCCTCCGGCGGAAGGGCTCTCGCTCCTCGACTGCTTATTAGATTCCCGTTGATGTGCCGCCTCTTCATGCGCGGCGACGTGGCGCCATTTCTCTCAAACGACCCTCGCTCATCGCCGACACGACGAGGGCGGCCTTGATGCCGAGCTCTGTGTGTAATAAAAGTAATGTGATGGCTTGACTCTGCACGCCCGGGCCGCCCCCCCACTTACCCCCCGTCCATCGATGTCACATTAGCGACTTCAGACCCGACTGCACGGCCGGAGTTGTAAACCTTTCCGACGAAGATGTCTCTTGTGTGTTCGCAGATAGGAAAGCCTGCGCCACCCTCTCCCACCAAAGACAGGAGAAACAGCATGGGCTCCCCCCTCCGCGGACCGGGCAGCCCCGTACGCCGGGTCAGCCGCGGCGAGAGACGGTACGCACCGTCATGTGATCCAGATAACACTTGTTCTTGTTCTAGTCTACTGGGAAATGATCGGAGGAAGGAGAAGTAGTTTATCAGTTAGCAACAGTTTCCTTCTCATATGAATGAAAGTCAACGTCTCGCGTGTTCTGTGTCTCATTTCGTTGCAGTCCCTCCGGAGAGAAGAAGGTTTTGGAGCAGAAATCCTCCGCAGACATCAATGGATACCAGATCAGAGTCTGAAGAACTTTTAGCTGGCTTGTAAATTTAAACGGTACCACACACTCTGTGAGGCTTATTTCTTTGTGCGCATTGTGCGGCTCACGCGATGCAACGTTGGAAGAAAAAAAAAAAAGGTCACCAGCAACCTTCCCTCTCAAAAACAAAAGGCTCATTCAGCGTCCCTCCATCGACGTGGTCAAGAGGCTTTTTCTCTGCAGAGTTTTAAGTTAAGTTGTAAAATGTGCCACTGGACGCGTCGCAGGTTTCCGTGGTGACAAAGACTCTTCTGCTGTCTGCATCGTCGTACCGTAAGTGTGCAATTTCATGTAATGTCATTTTAGGACCACTTCTGCTCTGCTGGGCAGCGACCGCTTGTGTAGTGACCAGTGTGCAAACCACTACCCACGTGCCTTGTATGAAAACTCAAAGACCTTTTATATCCACACCCTTTTTATTCTCGTTATTCAACTGAGCTGAACACACAGCAGGATCATCTGTGCTCTTCCCGAAAGGTTGAAAGTATGTGGGACAGTTTTAGCATGCTATTCACCGAGCACGGGATTGAACACGCGATGTACAGAAGTACGTTGTATCATCTGCAGCGTGATAATATGAGAAACAGGAGTCACTGTGACGGATGAGTATAAAAAGCTTTCGCACGAAGCAACAAGATCAGCGAGGTGACTCACAGCATCGCTGACCGCTTCCACACTTTTTTTTTAGATGTAAAGTTAGACGGGAAGTCGATGTGTAACTGCTTTATATACACACTGTTTCTACCTTTTATTTGTAGCGGCTTTATCTCATATTCCACTTGCCTTAAGTGGGGTGACTTCCATTTAGGCCACGGTGTAAAGACTTTTGTTTACAGCAATTTTATCTGCATTTTGTATTCTTTTTATTGTCATTTTATACTTCCCTCAGTGTGGGCGATCACCAGTGGACCAAAATGTACCGCTCACTTGGGAACACGTTGCCACAGCCAACATGTTTATGTGTACAGTAGGCGTCGTCCATTTTCATTTCAGTGCTTTAATGTCAAAATTTGTACCAAAAGACTGTTCATTCAACGGATCACGACAATAAAGGGTCACGGGGACTGTGGCAACACAGTTTGATGTTCTGTTTACAATTTGTGATTTTTCTTGTATTTCATAACCTTTCCCTTAAGCAGCGTTGGTCTTGATTCATCAGTAAGCCCGCTGTCATTAGTTGTGAGAAAGGGAATGACCGTTTAAACTGAGCACAATATCCTCATTGAAGGGCAGCTTTTGGCACCAATGCAAATGAGATCTCTAAAACGCCAACAACTCCCTGAAGGGAAGCTTCAATCGGAGTTAAACACTAAAGTCGGAACAAGTGGGACAGTGTGTTCGCCTTCTGGATCCGAGAATACGTTTCAAACATGCGTAAACAAAAGTAAATCTTTCATTATTTGCTGTTATCGCTCCATCCGCTTCACTGCGGGCGTGCTGCTGCAGTCGTATCAGGTAACAGCTGTAGAGGGCTGTGCTCATACTCAGGCATCCTGCTGCCTGATGGATCCCACAGGGTACGGATGTACAGTAAGTCGCCCTCCCAACGCACAGCAATCAGATAAGGAGCCTTAATGGCAGCTGCATTAAAAGTAAACCCAGTTAGCAGCAGGGAACCACTCTCACGCGTCGGCCAACAACGGAACCCCAAAGGTAGCGATTGAGGGAAACTGTACTGTCCTGGAACAAAGTAACCATTTTAAAAGCTCTTCATGGTGCAGTGGTGGGATTTGTTCCTTCGAGCAGTTGCCTTGTTGAACTATGAGAGAAGTCCCGATGAAGATGAGCCCCCCACACGCCTCCCCCCCGTCCGAATGTCACACGCCTCGTTAGCCCGTGTTTGTAAGTCAGAGAGACCGAAGGCACGATGACCTGTTTGAGAATAACTACCTACTGACCCTCTTTGTGTACTTTTATGCGTACGTGGGTGCGTTTGATCGTAATCCTCTATACATTAGTGTCACCACTTTCAATGGATTATTATGACACCGTGTGTGGCAAATATGTTTACATTGACAAGAACGAGTGAGGGCTCGGTAAAGGGCGGCCTACTGATGGTAATCACCTCAGCAGACATTTTACAGCACACACACACACACACACACACACACACACACACACACACACACACACAGCCCTCTTACTGAGCCCCATCATGCATGAAAACACTCGACTTTCTAAATGAATTATTTAATCATGCGTTAGCCAGACATCCTCCCCCTGCAAACCGAGGAGCACCTAAGTGTACCGGGATGGGAGGGGCGGAGCCAGCATTCGGCTCACTATCAACAGCCTACTGGGCCATTTCGTGCATAAATGTTGGAAAAAGCTACACAACGCTGGAGGCCGACACATTTCTGGAATATGTTGAAGAGAAAAGAAATCACAGAGGAGCCGCAAGATAATGGAAAATATTTATTCTATAATTACCATCCAACAAAAGTATGACCGACTGAACATGGTTTAGGTTAAAAATTAGTAAAAAGAGTGAAAGAAAGCTGAGCAGGTCAGTGCATTGTCGCAGCAGTAAGAATTAAAGCGAGCACTGCCTGTATTTTTGTAAAATGAACTATTACAGCCTAATTCGATTTGTCATATCCAAGTAATTGCTCTGCGTCATTTATCTGATGAAAACCATGGAGAACGAGATCCATTGTTGGCATCTATTCAAAACAAAAATAGCAGAAAAGAGCAGATTTAACGTGTTCATTTAAATCTGCTCCATCTAAATGTAAACATGTTCATCCTCCCCCTGACACCACCCACTCTTTCCCATCATGCAGCATTCAGGTCCAGCCGGAACTTGGCCAGAAGACTGAGATGGTCGGAGGGGAACATGTGATTGGGCAGCCCCTTCAACGACCATAGGACATCTTCCGATAGGAGGGAGAGAGAACCAATCAGCTTCAGGCCTGCACTCAAGTCACCAGCTGAGGAAACAGCAAGAACCAACAAGTCATCTACAGTGGCAAATCCATGCAGAGCTGCAACAGCTGTCTGTGGTATCACGTTCACGTACGGTTTTGATCACAGGTGGAGGCGCGTTTCGGGGTGTAGAAGATGTAGTCCACGGTAGCTGCCCCCTCGGAGTGCAATGTTGTGACTTCCGGATTGCCAAAGCCGGGAAGAATGTGTTTGTAGACCGACTGCAGGTCAAACCGGTGACTGACGGTGTGTCCAAACCTGTGACATAAAACTTACGTGTAAAAGCACATCCCAATATAACCTCACCGGGCCTCTTTTTAAAAATCACATGACGCAACGTAAACTCACTTTTTTTCACAAGGTGGACTCCAAGGTGGACCCCTTAAATCTGTGCATTTGAAAAAGAAAGAAGACCCAGTTATTCAAACCGCTTCGGCGAGACGTGACGTTGTGGCGTTCTGCGTTGCGAGTCTGCACCTGGCGTGTTGTCCGTCACTCCCCGGATCACCTCCAAGTACGCAGGACGGAGGCATGCGGCTGGACAGAAGCGCTGCTGCAGCAGGAAGTCATAGCTGTACTGGTATTTGCCTAAATTTAGAACAACAAATACAGGACAGGAAGTGATGCGGGTTGAAATGAAAACAAAGACAAACTCATTTCATCGATGAAGATGAGGGGAAAACACAATGAGGTAATGAGAAAATGCCACAAACTACACGTTAATGACCTGATTTCCGACTCTTCCACGCGTCCTCGGCTGTTGTGTACTGGCAGCCATCAGTGACTCCCAGTGAGCCGGACCACAGGGGGGCGTACAGTCTGCGACAATGGCTTTTCTCTGACAGCTCCTCTTGACCCGATATCTATCGGACATGGTAACAAAAAGTGCATGGTTATACAGGTCAATCCTGTGAGCATTTTGATCAGAAATATAAAAACATGAAACAAACAGTCATGAACGCAGGAGCAGCATGGAGACAGTTTATGGGAATTATTCTTCGCGGTGTTTAGGTCTCACCATCCATGCCGGTAGTCCCTGGAAGTAGAGCTCGCCGGTGGTGATCAGCTGGTAAAGAGGCTTCTGGGGGACCGAGTTAAAGTCTCCACACAATATAATGTTACAGTCCTCGCCTTTGGCTTTACAGGATTTGACGACTCGGTCAATTTCGGCCAGCATCACGGCCAGCTGAGCCAGCTTCACGTCGCCCCTCCTGGGGTTGAAGAGGAGGTGGGTGTTGGCCACGCACAGGGGAAGGCCCCGCGCCTTGACCTCCGACCCCTCGGTGAACACCGGCCGAAGCAACAGAACAATGGCCACGTTGTGCCGGTCCAGCGGCGCCACCTCCGGCTTGAAGAACTCCAGCGTGGCGACCGATACTTCAGAGAAGCCGCTGCTGCGGTAGCACGTGGCGCAGCCGTCCGTCTTGGTGCCCGTGCGCCGCTTGAACACGCAGGTGTAGCCTGGAGCGACAGCATGAACAGGCAACGCGTGACGTGGGCCGCAACGTCGACCAAACACCACCGACAACGTCACAGACAAACTCACCCATATCAGACAGGACTGGACACAGTTGTTGGTGGTAGTGGTTCTCCTGAACTTCTTGGAGACACAGAATCTAAAACACCAAAGACCACAAAAAAAAACATGTTAGGATTGCAATTAACCTGCATTTATGAATGACACAAAGAGACTCAGCCAGCACTTGACTCACATCTGGCTTCCATTTCTGTATTTCGTCCAGCAGCAGTCTGCAGCGGTTGCTCCAGTCGAGCACCTCCAGGGGGCAGTGCGTGTACAGCTCCCCGTTGGCCTCGAGCAAGTCCTGAGCGAGGACGTTGTAGGACATGACGGTGAGGTCCATCGAGGCCGTGGTGAACGGGGGGGACGCCTCTGCTGCAGTGGCACTCTCATCCGTCTCCTCCCATACTCTCCAATTCACTGGTTGGAAAACAGCTGTTAATTAAACAGCTGGATGGTCAACTTCCAGGGAGTTGAGAAAAGACAACAAAGTTACAGTTCAGGGGGATATTAGTGTCACCTTCAAAAGGCCCAGGGGCCTCTACTGGAGGGTAATAGCTGGAGACGGGGAATTGCCACAGTGGGCAGTGCACCTCTTCTGCCAGGCCGGGTCCTGCAGGAAAGTGCCAGCCAGTCTGTGTGCTGTGCTTCCCACTGAGATTAAGGGGGCTTTGAGTGTTAGAGAAGAGGCAGGGAAATGCCAGCTCAGAACCGCTTTCCCCAACGACCATTTCGTCGGCGGTCAGAGTCACGTATTCGTCCCAGCACTCCGTTACTTCAGCTGCGGTTTTCGCCGGAGCCATCAACGCATCGGCACAGGGCATCGGTGTTTGTTCCTTTACTGCGCGGGTAGTTTCCTGTACGCTTTGCTCAGCCGGAGATGAAAACTCTTCCAAGCTTGGCATCTTTATTGGACTGGTGGCTTCTAGGGTGCTGTCTCCCACGGGCTGCAGGCAGTCTAACTGCACCCCGACAGCCTTTTCTGGACCAATGTCCGCAGCCGGAGAGATAATTACATCCTCCGTATTCTGCATCCTACTGAGCGCCTGGTGGTGAATAGTTAGTTCCCCGGAGTTTTGTGTGGGAGCTTCCCCTTTGTCTTGCTGCAGTGCATTTCTCGTCTCTGCTTCTTTCTCCGTCGACGTGGATCTCCCCTCACCCAACGTTGAAGCCGCTCTGCCCTTGGCCTCCCCGCGCGGGACAGGCCCGAGGTGCTCTTCCTCTGGCACAGGCCTCGTGTCATCTTCCTGTCCTGGGCTCGGTTCTTTCATCCTTTCCTTTGTCTCTTGCTTCGTCCCAAGACTCGGGCTGGGGTTGGGCCCCTGGGCCAGCAGGGAGCTCTGACACTGGGCGAAGCTCCTGGTTGCGACGGCGCCACCATCCCACGCCGCTTTGCCATGAACCTGTGCAGGAGGAGGATCCTTCTGCAAGGACTCTAGAATGCAAGATCAGAAAGGAGTCAGAAACTCTTGTGCATTCATAGTACGGTAAAAAAAAAACAAAAAAAACATTTTACAATTAAATGCATTTTACTGAACCCAGACCACAGTCTGCAGTCCCACGTGGGGACGCAGTGACGTCACGAGGGAGGCGAGCGCAAGCTCGGAAAAATTGCCAGAAAGGCAATAAGATAATGTGCCTTACGAGTCCGTTTTCGCGAAGGACGAACCAGTAGCTCACACTAGCGAACCACGAGACATTTTTATTACAGTCACCAAAATAAAACGTCGAGACAAAGTGCTCGGACAGCAGGGAACTATAAACTCGCTGTGAGCAACAGCTGCAACAGCTGCGCGGCTAAAATACGTTTATTGACACACTGAACACGGACGCTTACGCGACAACGTGCTGCGAGACCCACCTGAGTGTCGACTTGTCACGTAGCGAGATATCGGGTAGAGGACATAAAACAACAAACTAATCATGTTTCTGTAGTTCCTTCCTCATACCGCTGCCGCGCATGCGTGTTCTGAAGTTGGTCGTGACGTAGAAAGGTCAGGGGTCACTGGCGTGGTTTTCTCATGGATGTGTTTGTTAATTCATGGGAACGTTTTTTTTTTAATAAGATAATATAAAAATGATAAAGATAACAACTATAAAATGAAACTTTACTTTAAAGCCTTATAATTTCACACAGCGCAGCTATCACGCCCTAGAAGCCTATTGACAGTTTTACTTAGTGTTATAACAAAAAAACACAGCATTGTATCCACACTAGAGCATAAATTGTTGATGTCACTACACATGAAACGTTACCTGAGGGGTAGAATTACCCGCTGGACAGCCAGGGCCTCTTTCCTTTCCTGGTGCTGCACAGAACACCAGGGAACAAATAACCAGAAGACGGTTCTCCCTCTGCATCTGTGAAGTGGTTTCAAACTGTATTTAGGCGCTGACGGCATTCAGTAATGTCAACGCTGTCTTTTGAGTCGCTCCGCTTAAAAGAGGACGATTGTACACCCTCAACTCAGCCGCAGGCCATGGAAAATGATTTTGACACGGACTTGGAGTCGGATGGTGAGTACATCAGCTCATTCTTGGGTTTATTGTTGGGTAAAGAGGATACAAGCCACTTTGCTGTTCCTGCTGTAATGATGTAAGTTTGTACTGTTAATTCATAATCGTGTGGTAAATTCTTCAAATAAACGCTTGTTTTGACGGGTATTACACAGCCTCTTACTCAAAAGGACTTCTACTAACTTCCAGAAAACGAGGAGAGCGACAAGGAGGTTTCTGTACCTGACGTGTACCTCCAGGCCTGCAAGCTGGTGGGCGTAGTGCCGGTCTCCTACTTCTTACGAAACTATGACTCTGCAGCCATGGACCTCACACACCACGGGCTGGGGCCTTTGGGCTGCAAGGCGCTTGCTATTGCTTTAGTGGTAAAATTAAAATTCTCCCAACTTAGTGAAGACCTTCTTTTTTTTTTAAATGGAACATTTCTGATAAGCTCTTTGTATTTAGGCTGATATGAATATCAACTCTCTGGAACTTGGAGACAATCACATTCAAGCAGAGGGAGCCAAATACCTTGCGGAGATGCTGAGGGCTAATTTCACCATAACACACCTGGTATGTCACACTGCAAACCTGCCACTAGAGGGCAGAAGAGATTTACAGGCGGCATTTGTTATCCAAGTAGCATCATACTATACGACCATTTGTTTCAATTTCAGGATTTATCCAACAACTGTCTGAGGTCCGCAGGAGCTGAGCATGTAACTAATGTGTTGCTGAACAACATTTCATTAAAATCTGTCAAACTTTCAGGTAATTTCTGGTAGCATTAATGGCTTTAACTGTATTGATGTGGTACCAATTCAGGCATGACAAAAGAAAACTCTTTGTGACTAGATGAGAAAATGTTGTAAATGAAAGATTACTTTGTGTTATTCATTTGTGAATTTATTCTCTTTATTTGTACATTTCATATTTGGTCCCATCAGGAAATGGATTTACTGACGATGATGCAAAATATTTTACAGATGCCCTGTTGGTAAGTGATTAATAATCAGTCTTACCTTCATGCTTTACATGACAAATGGGATTTTAGCTGAGGTTTGTTGTTAAGTTGTAGTAGACTATTTGATCACTTTTGCGATTATTATTTTGCTTATATGTTTACCTGTAGACCAATTCCAGAATTAAGGAGCTGGACCTGAGCCACAATGAGTTTTGTGGAAAAGGCGGGGAACAGTTGGGACAGTTGTTGGGTACTGTAAAACATTTACTTATCTTAATGCCTTTGTTGATGTGACCAAATCCACTACGCCGTAATCTATAAAGGTAATGCCTACAATCTACAGCAAACAACGAGGGTCTCGAGGTGCTGAATCTTAGCTGGAACCATTTTCGAATGAAAGGGGCTGTGGCTCTTTGTGCTGGACTCAAGGTACGGCCAAACGCGAGATCCATCTAGTCTCCGACTCTTGCATTCGAACATCTGATCCCATTCTGCGTGTTTAGGTGAACATGACGTTAACGCACCTCGACCTATCGTGGAACGGTTTCAGTAATGAGGGCGCCCTGGCCATGGGAGAGGCCCTCAAATTCAACAACACTCTGGTGCACCTCAATCTCAACAACAACCGCATCACCAACGAGGGCGTCGGCATGCTGTGCAGGGGTCTTGAGTTCAATGACACGCTCCAAGTCCTACTGGTGGGTTGACGAGGTTGCGTGAAGCGAACGTGTATCGTCAGTAAGACGCAGTTGCCTTTTAAGGTGGTGTTTGTTTTTAACCCTCCTGTAGCTGGCTTTCAACACGTTAACAGTAGAGGGAGCACTGGCCCTGGTCAATGTGGTGAAGAACACCCCTAGAACTGCCCTGGAAGAGATCAACATATGTGTGAGTAACGGTGGAACCGCTGTCCGCTGTTGATCTGACTCTTCTGTCATAGCGTGTGATCAAAGATCAAAGAAATCCAACCATTACCAAATCAAATGACGTGCAGTCGGTCCCGTGTTTGCCATCTTGTCAGCACCATCGTTTTGGTTTACCTTTTGAACAGAATGTGCAGGTGAATGAGACCTTTGTGCGTCTGTTGGAGGTCACATGTCAGGAGCATCGCGCTCTGGATGTACGGTTTGGAGGAGTAAGAGGCTTCATTGCCAAAAAGCCACCAAAACGTGTTGATCCAATGAAAGTCATTCAGGTATGTTTTGGTCACGTAATGAGAATATGTAGTCCTAAAAATCTAAAATCAATTCATATATAGACTAAGTGTTAAATTAACGAAGCGGTCAAATGATCGCAACTCTTTCTGTGTGGTTTAACATCGATTTCATGGTTTCCTTATATTTTTGAAGGACTATTTGGATCAACGCAAGCTTCGCCTTTGGGATTTCTTTAGGAACATTGACAAAGACGGCACAATGAGAGTCCCTGTTGCTGACTTCAGGAAGGCGGTGCAGGTTTCTAAAGAGATATTGTTTTGATCGGTGACATTTTCAGGAGAGAGTACCATGAAAGTGACCTTTTGAAAACACGCATGATTAAAGTTCTATAGTACTCTTCACAAATCTTTTCTGATGCTGATCCTTCATCACCAGTTGTTGAATCAGTAAAAGCAAACTGTGCAAATGGCAAATGGCTGAAATAAGAACCCGTGTAAGTGCTTTTTTCTGTCCTGTGAAACCATCACAGCAATCAAGTATCCCGTTGGATCGATACCAGATCGAGGAGCTCATTCAGAGACTTGATCGCGACGGGACGGGCATTGTAGACTACAGGTGAGCGTGTCTCCTAATGTCTGATCGTGAGTATGAGTGCCTTTTTAAATTGTCCAGATCTTCACCGCGGATGACGCCGTGAAACGATGATGTTATCTGATGCAGGGGACTGGCGGATACAAGGAAACAGATGATGAGGGATCACCGCCGCCAGCTGAGGAAAGTGGAGTCCCGTCAGAAAAAAGAGAAGCAGAAGAGCGACCGCATACTCAGGACCTTCCAGAGCGCCGTGGAGGCCGTGACGCCGCACGGCTCCATCGTCATATCTCCTGGAGGGGCCAAAGAGGATTTAAGCGGCCCTCGGCACTTCTCCGCCACCCCTCTGAGTTCTTGGCACCACATCGTCATGTCCAACAGCAGCCGCTACTCCGTCACCAACCTGAGCAACGAGCTCGTCCACCTGCCCGCGTTGGGAGGCGCGTCGCCGTACCGGCCCGCCAGTTCCCCGGCCCTGCGCTCCTACTCCCAGCCCAACCTGCTGGGGGACTCCGCTCGCTCTTCTCCAGGCAAGCCCGTCTCCGCACAGGGCGTACACTCTGATCCGGAGGTGGCCTACAGCAAGGCGAGTCCCACCGCGTTGCCCCTGACCAGGTCCCGGTCCGCTCTCGGTGCCAAGCAGCCAGCGGCTAAAGCCAAATCCAAGAAAGCTAAGAAAAAGAAATCCACCAAACAAAAGGATTAAAGACTCAAGGCGCTCGAGAGTCAAGGGATAGTAAAGCTGTATCTAATGTTTGAAGTGTTATGACTGTTTTTTGACTGTTGGCTATACTTTGTAACACATAATTAGGAAATAAAGATACATTTGAACTATTGAGATGACAATGACATGTGCACAGTGTATTGAGCATGCAGACTATTACAGAGCATTCATTATTGTTATTTGTAATATCTGTGCTTTTCCTACAAGGACATGTCAACTGTGGAGGAAACTGTTTGAGGAACTGAAATCCTGAAATACTTCCCAATATTTATCTTTTCAGCTGGGTATTTTCGTTCAGTGTCGTTACTGAAATGAAAAAAAACGACTCAAGGGATTTCCTGTTCTTTGAGTCAGCATTTAATTCACAGTGTCTCCTTTGCTGTTCAAAGGCAACACCCGAGTTACATGCATGACATCATGCAAGTGACCATATGGAAAACAAAACAATACGAAACAACCTATTTCACATTTACAATACAAATTCAAATGAACAATATGTAAGTAAGCCCTGTTAAGAGAAAATCATCAAGCTGATATGTGTTTCTTCACTCTTAGATGATAAGTTATGAGGGTATGTTGGAGGGTTAGGAGCCGGTGGATGTACTGGGAGAGTGGCCAGTCCCATCAAACTGGACTTTGAGCTGCTCAGCGAGGAGCTCAGAGTATTTGAGGCTCCGGTGTCTCAGCTCAAGGACTCCCTCAACTCCCTCAAGACTCAGCTTTTTCGGTCCTCATTTTATTGTTTACCACGACCCCTCGTCGTGAATAAGCTGGAGACTCACGACAAGAGCAACCTGGAGCTCTTCTGCCTTGAGTTTGCTAAGCTGCAGAGGAAGCTGGAGGGGGGCCCATTGGTGTGGCTCAACATGCAGTTCTGGTTTGTCAGCAGCTGGTCAGCAGGTTGCATGTCATGGTAATTATTTTTGCTTTTCTTACACTAGCACGGGGTAAAAACCAGTGCGAAGCTGTGACTCTGTGTACTTGTACGGTGCGTATGAATTCTGTGTCCTTCCTCTATTTACGACAAACTCATTTAAAGACCCTTCTTCACAAACCAGTTTGTCACAAGGGTTGAAAGGCATTGGTAACAATTTCAATGTCCATGGTGACGCTATGGATTTACCAGTCTGAAACCCAATCTAAATGTCCACATTAGATCCGGCCTCCTGTGGTTATGGTCACCGACAAATGCACAAAAGCAACAAATTCCCCTATTTGGACTATTCCGCTGATGAGAAAGGATTGTGGGTAATGTATGCCCCGGAGGAGCCCAAGGGTAGAATTGCGGTCGCTAAGATAGATGGAAAAATCAATCTGGTAAGATGAATGGACCACTGGTGCGTTCGAGCTTCTAGTAGGGAAGGCCTTCACGCTGCGTGGCGTCACAGTGTGTCGGCTACCAGGCCAGAAGATCTGATGACAAAGGAGATCTATTACTCATACGACACCAAGACTGGAGAGGTGAGATACAAGAGTGAGAAACGTGTCAAGCTGCACCGCGACCCCACTGATCAGAGGCCTCACATGTACAACAATGACTATTATGCATCCGCCGCCATGAGCTTCAACAAAGAACGACGCCTCTTGTTCATGGTCTGATGTGTGATTATTGCAAATCTGCCTGAATCCAAAAAAGAATTTCACTTTCGTTTTGGGAAAATATTATTATGGGAAATAATATTAAGTATTTGCATGAGTCTGTTAATTGTTTTATAACATGATTAAAGGTAAAGTGTGACTGAATGAACATTTGGAAAGGGTGTAAAGTAATAATTCCCTTCTTTTTGGATGAGGTTGCAGCGGCTGACACATGTCCGCCGCCCCCCCTTCTTCCCTAACATCCTGCTCCGTGCTGGAGCGCGCACCCCCTTCTGTAAACGGGCCCTCCCTCGGGGGGGTAAGGACTCTCCTTTGTGCTGTGACTGGAGCCTGGCTCCATCTGGCACTGGGCACCAGCAGATTATGTATTCTGGGCAGGGTGATCCTGCGAGTCGTAGATAGTGGATGGGAGACATCAAAGAAACACTTTAATTAGTAACATCTTTATAAATTCAGCAACATCCGGACGTGATTTGTCGACTAAAACATACAAACACAATCCATTAGGGAAGGAGTCAACGGTTGAGTCAGTGTACAGGAAAAACAGTACTGTCTCTTTAACTCGACCAGCATCTGTCGGGAGGAGAGGGGGGAAGTGAACGCCTTGTGTGAAACGGTACCCTAAAGTGACATCACGCTCAGCCAATCAGCAGCCTCGCCTGAGGTCCGTCCTCCTCCCCTGCTCCAGAGAGGAGTGGGTTCAGGCTGCTGAAGACAGGGCTGCTGCTGCTGCCGCTTGCTGATGCTGCTGCGGGTGGAGCGTCCAGGGCTAGCTCGCCTCCCGTCAAGTACAGGATGTGTGTATCTGTGTCTTTTTACTAAGCTATTTGTCCCATTTATTTGTCATTGTGATTTCAAACTCCTTTTCTATAGAAGTGCATGTTGAGAAGATGGTGATGGAGGAGACTGAAGATGGCTTTGTGTGTTTCATAACACTCCTTAGATGATGTCGCCTCCATGCCTGTAGCCAGGATGAGGTGTGTGTGCGTGCGTGTTGTTTTTGTGTGATGTTGGTGGTTCAGGCTGTACCCAAATTCAGAGAATAGGAACATCATATTTTGCATTGATAGGAGGTTTTATAGTCACCATAAGTCTTCCCTGTCTGCCTGCTATTATAATTGTGTCATGTAAACATGAAATAGTTGCATATTATCTGAGTCTGCAGAGAATGAATTTCTTCCTCTAGAAATAATGGAATTCATGTACATCAGTGTTGATGGAATATTTGGGATTATACAGTGACATTTGGGTGTAATCTTTATTCTGCCACCATCCTCTAAAGATACAATACTACACAACTATCTGAGACACACAACAATGCGCCTCATTGCTCGTTGAGTCATCTGCTTGTCATCTGGGACGTTTGCAACTCAGCTTCTTTCCATCCATCAGAAGTAGTAGGAACAAGCTCGTACTCACTTCCTGTGCTGCAGGTTAACTCTTTGTTTCCACTGGCTCAGTTGACGATGCTTTTCCTCCTGAGCCGCGGTGTCACTCGGGGGAGACGCACACCGAGCCGAGAGACGACGGACAGAGATGATTCCCGTTGTTCGTAAGACTGGGGAGCAAAGGTGAGGCCACAGAGCAGCCACTCAGCAGCGGCGGTGAGACTCACTTACGGCAACGTACGGTGTAGTTTCAGTTTCTAGTTTAACAAGACGGCTCGTCTACACCGGCCGTACGTCTGAACGAGGTCCATCTTAATCAACACGTCATGTCTAACTCTCTCTGCGCCGTGCTTAGGCCCACCTGGTCCAAAACAAGGCAGCGATGGCAAAGAGAGATTACCTGGTGGAGGCGGCCAAGCAGATCCGCATGGCATTGGACAGCGAGGTCAATGAGGACTACGAGGCGTCCTTCAGTTACTACAAGAACGGGGTGGACCTGCTGCTGAATGGGGTTCAGCGTAAGTGGACAACAGTTGGCATGTGATACTTTGAATGGGGAAAATGAAGAGGCACGTTTGCGCTAGACATGTGACGGGAACATGTGGACAAAAGTAAAAATAAAAACAGGAAGTGACGAACCAGAGTATAAACACACATTTCCGAGCTTGCCAGACACCCTCCTTTTCTCATACGATTGAACTGTTTTATAGTGGATCCAAACAAGGAACGTCGGGAGGCTGTGAAAAGGAAGACAACCCAGTATCTGAAGAGGGCTGAAGAAATCTTCATTACACATCTGCAGGACAACTTGGGGAAGGGAAGCTCTCATTTAGGGGTAAGACAATCTGTCATCCCTTTACAAAGAAAACTACATCTTCTTGTCCTTTATTCGCTATGAGGCATGTCTAGCGTTCACATGTCTGGCGTTGGTTGAATCAGCATTCCTAGCTTGTATTCTTTGAGTTGGAAGACAAGAGGGCACATCCTCCATTGTTTCTTACATTCGATGAAAAATGTTCAGTGCCTTTCTGTCTCACACAAGGACTTTTTTATCTCAAACGCTGTGAGAAAAACACGCCGTGAGTTGCTTTGTCCTTCATTGTTCTGTTTCGGACGTCTCGCCTGGCTTTCATCACCAGGGTTACAGCAGCCTGAGATTCCGTCCAATCAGACACTTGAGCTCACCTGTGGAGGATCTGGAGATGTGTAAGGTGGTCGGAGTGACTGATAAGGTGGGACTGTAACACTAACTACCTTTCTGTTTCCATATCACGGTTGCCTTTGTGTATGGACACTCATTGACGTTACAATATGTTTTAATTCTAATAGGTCCTGATTGTTCAGAGTATGGTCAACAAGGAGACATTTGTTGTTAAGGTGAGTATTGAGTTTCCTTGAGAAAAAACTCCCATCATGGTGTCTTCCTCTGTGTTCCAATGCATCTAAATTAAAGACACGGCCATATGTCTACATATAGCGATCCACTAAAAGGCGGAGATGTTTTGGGGGGTTGTTGCCGAGCAGAAAGCCAGTACTTATATCCCAGGGCCGGCCGGTTGACAGGAGCTCTGTGCATCCTGTCTCCCTGAGTATCATGCTGCATTGATCTGCCTGAAAGCTTTCCCCGTTTTAGCCAGTGCAAGTGCACCTCAAATTTCAGCAACATGGATTGTTGGAGACATGGAAACAGGCAGTAATCTCAAAGGCGGCGACCCGTGCTTCATTTTCTGTTTGTTTTTTTGACCAACTTTTGATTAATTTGCCTATTTATTTCATATGAACATGTGTATTTTTTTAACAGACCAGTCATCGCGTGTTTGTGCATGTGTGTGTGTGTTCTTGCAGAGTCTGGTAAAGTCGAGTTGGGAGAGCAGAGATCTGCCAACCATCATTCCTCAGGGGGTTCCATATATGGTTAAGCTGCTAAGATATTATGTCAGCGAGGATGCCGTGTACCTGCATCTTGAGCACCTCAAAGGTGAGCAGCTCACAACTGCTCTGTCCTCAGTGGGATTTTAAGCAGTACATTTGCTCTAATGTCTCATCTCATCATCTGCTCCTCTTGTCCCGTAGGTGGGAGGCTCTTCTCCAAGCTGCACAAGTTGAGGAACGAGAAGGCCAAGGAACACCCGGAATGTATCACCTCTGGCCAACCTAGCATCAAGCTGAAGACCAGCTACACCTCACCGACGATCAGCACGGACTACCGGCGCAACAGCGGCGCGAGCCCAGGAGGGCTCCCGGAGAAAGCAAGCGACGAGAGCCCCGGCGACGACTTCCCCACCTCGTGGGATGAGACTCAGCAGCGGCTGGAGAGCTGCGGGACTCACACCTACATCGAGGAGACGGGCTGTCTGCAGAACACGCGTTCCGCGGCGTCCTTTCGTAACAAGCTTGATCGGCTGACTCTGACCTCTGGCCCGGCGAGGACACAGGTCGACACCCGCATCCACCCGCCGGCCCCGAGTTTGTGCTTGCTCTCCGGCGAACCTCAGGAACAGCCCGCTCTTCCTCTGTCTTGCTCTCGCGTCAGTCAAGCCCTCGATGTCATGTCAGAACTCCATAAAAACAAAGCTGCGTTGGGACTGACGGAGTGCAGCTCTGAGTTTGAAGTGGCCTGGAAGGTTGCGGACCCGGTGCATAACGGCGTACAAACCAACCCCTATGCAGTGAGCAACAGCACGCCAGGACAAACTCCACCTCGCACAAATCAGACCTTATTTGTAAAAGCAGGATCACCAAAAAGTGGAAGCGATGTTTTGAGTTCGTCCCCTGCCATTTTGCATCTTCCTCTCTATTGCCAAACCCAGATACGCGGCAGGGCATCGTGGGATACCAACGGCTCACACCTAGGACCCGTTTCGACCGGGTACTCGGCGGACGTGGTGACGGACTCAAAAAGAGACGGCAACAGTCCCACCACGGAGGAGAGGAATGGCATGGTGGTCATCAGGAGCACAGACAGAGCAGTCTTCTCCGACCACACAGACGCGTCAGAAAGCTCCGGCCCTTTGCCTTTTGCTTCCCTCTGCCACGGCGTTGCAGGGAAACAGGGGGCCCTCTCGGGGGCGAAGTTCAAAGTGGAAACACATTCCGGCGGGACGAGGGAGGGTGTAGAGGAGGCCTGCGAATTGCTGTGTCCTGGAGATGAGGTGGCGTCGGGAAAAGAGCGATCGTTTGCGGGCTGGTCCAGCCCCAACGGAGCCTCGTACCACATGGGGAGTGAGGACGTGGACGATTTCCTTAAATCAGAAGGATCAGAGGGGCAGGGAGATGACCAGGACATAGAGGTGGATGGCTGGTGCCACCTGCCTCGGTTCCCCGTGAAGTCCTCCAGGCCTACGGGTAAGGGCACGGCGACCTGCTGGGGGCTTCCAGAGGCGGAAGTGCGCGTCTGGGCGGCTCAGATTCTCCTGGCCTTGGAGAGTCTACATCAGCAGGGCGTCCTTTGTCGGGACCTCAACCCTAAAAACGTTCTGCTCACTAGCAACGGTGAGTCCATCAAATACCTCCGAATGATTTCATGTGGAAAACTGCAGTGCTTTAGTTTTTATTTAAAATGTGATGTTTTCACAGGAAAGGTGTGCTTGACGTTCTTCGGACAGTGGAGTGAGGTTCAGTCAGAGATCAGCTCCAAAGCCATGGAACAGATGTACTGTGCTCCGGGTAAAGATTTGCATTACTGTAAACTGAAACCAGTGGGTGTTGCGTGCTGTGTGCTGCCACCTGGTGGTGAGATTAAGTTCGAGCCATTTTACACCGAAGAAGATAGATATGGAGACATCATTGTACGAACACAACTAAACAGTTTATTGCATGTGGACAGAAATCGGGGGCGTGTCCAGGGTGACGGAGGCCTGTGATTGGTGGAGCCTCGGCGCTTTGTTGTTTGAACTCTTAACAGGAATGGTAAGTGAAGGCGTTGTGCGCAACTTTTTTTTTTTTTTTCGCTCCATTCCTGCACATTTGCGGCATCGGGTTCGAGAGTTGTCACACTTTGCGCGTACTGTGCCAACAGCCACTGTGGCAGCTCCACCCAGCAGGGATCCATTCGCACACCCAGCTGATCATCCCCAACCACCTGAGCGCGGCAGCTGCGTCTCTTCTGACGGAGGTTTTCCTTCTTTTAATTATAACACTTTTAATTGTAACACACACACACACAGTGTGATCTAAATGTCACACTCTCCATTGTGCCGCTTCACAGTTGCTTCAGTTCGATGCTGGCTACCGCTTGGGGTCCGGAGGCGGAGGCGTGAGTGACATCAAGTGTCACCCGTTCTTCAGCGGTGTCTCCTGGAAGGCTTTGAGCTGCTAGCGGGACCTCTCATGTGGCCTCAAGGGACAGAACATTGTGTCCCCCCCCCCCCCCCGTTTTCCCCAAGAATCACAATAAAAACGGACCATCACTTGGGAGACTCTTGTGATTTTTTTTAATAAAGGTATTATCACCATGCATGGAAGCTGACAACATATTAGAATGTTTGGACCGTCAGCCATTAAATATTGTCAATAATAAGAAATAAATTGTTTAATTCATGGTTGAGGTGTTTGTGTGCAAATGCTCATTAAGCTAATAGACCAGTTGAGAATTTAAATCCCACACTACAAACACCTTAGTAAGACAACTACTTCAAACAGTTTGTGCTACGGTCAATTGCTGAACATTGACATTGTCAAAATAAGAATAACCATAAAATCAACAAAAGCGAAAGGCGAACAGTTTTTATTGTTCAAAACTTTCTTAAATAATCTTTCTTACACAACATAAAGAGAATTTCTTATTTTTTGTGAAACAGATGGAATAAATCATCAAAAGATTTTCGCTTTGGACATTTTAAAACAGTGTTTCTTGGTTTCAGACCCAACATGTTTTCATTGTTCTTCTCAACCAAAATTATCAAATGATCCGGCGTAGTTTATCTTCATGTTGGTCATTCATCTCACAATAAATTGAGATACCATAAAATGATACATGGTGAATGAGTAATAGAATATAATTTTTGATCTACAGACCAGAACCAGAGCCCGACATCGTCCCACAGCAGCACCGACCCCGTTATATCCCTGCCAGCTTAACAAATCCCCAATGCACGACTCAGCTTTTTTTCCCCTAGTTAACCAATACAACAATACATAAACTGCAGTCACATGTTCATCAGTCGGGGACAGACACCGTTTGTTTGGTTGGGCCTGGAGTGCACAAGGATTTACATGTCAAGGAGCAGCACCCTGGGGTCCTCCACCACAGACTTGATCTTGCGCAGGAAAAGGACAGCCTCTCTTCCATCGATCAGTCGATGGTCGTACGTCAGGGCGACGTACATCATGGGACGGATCTCCACCTAACCAAGAGGAAATTAAAGATTAGAGGCGCACACACACACGAGTGAATACTAAATGGTTGATTAGCAAACACAGCGTAAAGACCACGAGGAGCTACTCTCTTGCTAAATACAACAGATTATTTTGTCTATTGTATGTATTTGCACGTTTAACAAACCTTGCCACCAACTGCCACAGGCCTGTCAAATATTCCATGCATGCCTAGAATAGCAGACTGCGGTGGATTGATTATAGGCGTGCCGAACATGGACCCGAACACGCCGCCGTTGCTGATGGTGAAAGTTCCTCCGTCCATGTCTTCAACAGCCAGCTCATTCTTACGGGCCTACGAACACATAATGAGGAAATGTCAGGATTAAGAAAAAGAAATAGCTACAAACAACTCTAAATCTGTCATCACACTCACTGAAGATTATTACCTTTTCTCCCAACAAATTGATGGCCTTCTCGATATCAGTAAAATTCATTCCATCCACGCTTCGGATTACAGGAACCACCAGACCCTGAGAGAGAAGTTGCATGACTGAATGCTTTGCCCTTCACATTAGGGACAAGTGGGCTAACAAGCACTTTAGCATTACAACATAATGCACTTGTCTCACCTTTGGCGTTGCCACGGCAACACTGATGTCGACGTAGTCCCTGTACACAATCTCTTTGGTTGTGTCATCAATAACTGAAAAAAGAAAAAGGGTAGAACAATTACATATGCAGCTTATATCTGTAAATCACTATATTTCCACAGAGATTAAGTTCCTTTTCATGTGTGCGGTTTTTCTGCATGCAGCAGAAGCCTCCCCCACTCCCCTTCATTGAGGGCTATGTTTATAGGTCATGGTGGTCGAAAAGAAATAAATAAGTTGGTGTTGGTTTTGAGGTCTGGCAGTAAAACGGACTGAAACTAACATCTTTTTTTTCACCACAGACTCTTGCAGGAACTTGTAGCCAGTCGTGCAAAGAAAAAGTCAAAGTGCCACCACAAAGTAACGTTTCTCAGTCTGCGGAGGTCTATACCAGCATTGACAGCAGGTTGGTCAGCGAGCGCGTGGGCAGCAGCTTTCACAAACGCAGACATGAAGCCCAACTTGATGTTGTGTTTTTTCAGGAAGGCATCTTTGTAAGTCTTCCTCATCTCTGTGATGTTGCTGCAATGAAATCAACCAAAGAATACAGAAACACATAGATCAATCGAATGTGGGACTTCGATGATGGTAGTTATGAAAAAGAATCGACGGGCCTTGAAGACTTGAGGATTGTATGACACATTCATACAAAATATGGGAAGTACAGATGTGAAATTCAAAAGGCCAATGATGTGTGACAATAGCTTTGGAGAGATGAACTAAGCTGGTTCAAAACAAATGTTTTCATGAATGATGACTGAAAACCACCTATGGCATGTATTAACTGTATCGTAACCATGTTGTGAAAGATCCAGGTCACAATCTCAAATCAGCAGGTATTTTTGTGGCATAAAAGAACGCTGTTACAGAGCGTGGTGAATTAAAGCTATTGAAATCGGCCCTCTAATCGTTTCATCATTGCTCATTTTTCTCGTATATCGCTCGCTTTTTTTTAATTGTTTGTTTTCCTGTCTCTAACCCTGTTGAAGCTCTAGGGTTTCTCCGCTAACATAATTAGCCCCTCCCAAGACACAGACTCTCCGAGAAAGGAGAGAAGAAGCGATAAAAATCTTCACTTTCTAGAGCCTGTAAATCTTATTGGGCTGTCATAAAAGCCCATATCGGTTGAGGCAGCTCTTCCACTCAGAGCGCAGGTCTCTGTGGGCCCCTACAGATGCTCCAGCCTCCTGCTCTGACCAGCTCCTTCGGCTCCAGATGAGCCCTAGCATGGGAAGTCTTGCTCCAGACCGTCAATGTCAATCTAATTAGGATACATAGAAAACCCTGAATAGCCGAAAGCCGACACCACACATTTGCGGGGAAAAGAAATCCTCAAAGTGTCCTCTTCAGCACAGGGGGCAAGAGCGGACAATAACATTTCCTTGTAAATTAATAAAACCCGTTTTAACAATTCTTATCTTCGTTTTAGATGGAATTACCACCAAATATTTACATTCTAGTGTTTAAGAGGATATCAGGTTTCAAAAAGCTTTTCCCATTTGTCAGTTTTCAATCTATAACCATTTGTGCAAGTGTTGCTCAGGCCTTTAATGTACACTATGTAAAGTGTATACAAACTGCTTACAAACATGTTGATAGGCATTTAAACAGATTTGGACCGTACACTCTACGAGGTCTTTTCTTTTTGCCCGTTCAATGGCTCCAATTTGCATGTTGTGGATGTACGTGGAGTACATTTCACATTTGTTATCTAGAATAGCATTGAGGGCTCAATTATGTAGGTCAACTAATTTAGAATTTCCTACCTCATATCGACCTCATTAAACGTCGTCAACATAGCGCAGGTGTTTTGGGCTTCCTTCAGTCTCTGGGCAATTCTAAGCCTCATGCGGTTCATCTTAACCTAAAACAAAAAAAAATAGAATGATCAGATTGTGTCAAAAGCTCCCAACTAAAAAACAACAACTTTAAAAGTCGTGGAGAAACTCTTCAATGTTATTTGGGTGTTGTGGGGATTTTTGCACTCTACCCTGCTCTCCGTCCTGGCTCCTTTAGCCCCTCCCTCAGCTTGAGCCGCTGGTGCAGCTGGAGCGGCAGTGGGCTTGATGGCTGAAACTATGAGAAAGACGACGAAGCGCTTAGTCGACTTCAGTTCAGTGGAAGCGGTGAAAGCCTTTGGCTAAAATGATTAATCATGTAAGCTGGAGGTCAAGAGCACAGATGTCACGCAAAACAGTTCTCACATGACACGGCCCGTCTGTCTAGTGACAACTAACCTGGTTTGGTGTCCATAGCATGTGCTGGCACAGGTGGCACAGGGGGCATAGCGGTGGGAATGGGGCCCACAGATGAGGGGGGAGGAGGCAGAGTAGCAGAAGTTGGCGGAGAGGCTGCAGCGGCCGGGGCCTCGGCTTTTGGAGCTCCTGCAGCTTTAGGAGCACCAGCTGAAGGTACAGAGGTGAACAGTAAGGATAGGCGGATGCTTTAGAGAAGCATCTTAATCAACATCCTAAAAATATAATATGTAAGACCTCCTTTCCGAAGCGTAAAGAGCGCTGTTCCGCTCTCGACCTTCCCTCCATCAGGGACCAAAAGCTCCTCGATCACCCCGGCAACAGGAGAGGGAACCTGCACTGACGTCTTAAGGTAGAAAAATAGATTTTGTGTTAAAAGAAAAGTAAATACTGCCAGGTGCCTAAATAATGAATGACGAAATGGATTTACGCTTAAACTTGGTCTCAAGTTCAATGTCTTTGTTACAGTTTTAGAAATGACCAATTTATAAAAGAAAATAGTTACATTTTGTCAGCATTGACTTGCACATTTTCTCAGTCACCCAAGCAACGACAAACGCACATTTCTACTGGGTAAAGAGGAATACTATTTGGGAGAATAATTACCCCAAACACATGTGAATTTGTATCACATTTAACATTTATATTATTACCTTATCAGTCTCGATCTCACACACCACCTCATCTTCAGAGACGGTGTCTCCAACAGCTGTGAGTAGAAAGTTTAATTTTATTGTCTGAGAGCAAACTGACAACCTTTTGATCAGCTTAAAGTAGAAAGAGTTACCTTTCTCCCACCTCACATCCCGCTCTGTGACCGATTCTGCAAACGCCGGGGTCCTTACTGTGACAACTTCATCTCCTGGAAACAAACAAAAGTCAAATGTATTGCTTCACTCCACACACAGGTGCAGATATGAAAGGCAAGTGGGCTAAAACATACTGTAGGCTGCAGTCGTCCTAAAGTACTGGATTTGGAAGACGCTGGACCGGGGATCAGATTTTCTGAAAAAATAAGAAATTTAAAATAAATAAACTTAATTTACAGTCTAAAAACATGACGGATTCAGATGTGGCTTGTGTGTATGGGACATCTGGACACGTTATATACCCATAATGCCATTGAAACGCATCCTTTCCCTAGGTTTATCCTCTTGTGTTGCATTACAACCTGTCATCTAAATGGATTTTTGTTTGGATTTTCTGCAAATGGACCTACACACAAAAGTGGAAAATGGTGAGGTAGAATTGGCATGTTTATTTTTATTGTGATAACAAAATAGAGGAGTGTGCTATGTATTTACCCCCACTGCTTTGAGGTCTCCAAATATGATCTTGTGCTTCCAATCACCTTCACACAATTAGTCAAATAAAGTCCACATATGTGTGTGCGTGATGCATCTTATGTATTTTATATGGATATTCAAACACACATACACACATGCAACCACCATCACCTGTCAAACCACTAAGCAGCACCATGAAGATCAAGGAGCTCTCCAAATAGGTCACAGACAGAATTTGGGGGAAATAGAAACCAGGGTTGGGTTATGATAAAACCATTGGCTTTAAAAAAAAAAAAAAAAAAAGGCTCTTCTGTGAAGTTCTTCCAAGAGTGGTCACATCACCAATTAATTGCCCCACTGCAATGACCCGTTTGGTGGTTTACCCTCCCTTAGCAGGTTTGTTGTAGTGTCACATTATATTCATTTTTTTAAAACCCAGTGGTGCACTGTGCTTTCTGCACTGTTGCAGATTTTGTACAACACACCCATGAACTTTTCTGCAAAGCTGTTGACCTGTTCTGAAGGCTCCTTGGTCTTCATGGTGCTGCTCCCTTAGTCGTGTTACAGGCTCTATGGCCTCGCAGAACAGGTGTGTGTGTACATATACTGGGATCACACACAGACAGACTTGATCAAAATAAGTATGTGGCTGCTGAAGGTAATTTGTGGTGACAGAACGTATTTTGAGATTTCCCAGCAAAGGCGCAGAATATATTTGCACACACTTTTTATTATTTTTCTCACTACACCAATTTTGACTATTTTGTGTAGCTCTACATTAGATCAAATCAAACTAAATCAACAAGGTTGAGATGCAACAACTAGCAAAACAAGCAAGGATGGTTAATACATTTGCAAGGCACTGCAGTCTAAATCCTAATCAAATTTATGACCCTTTGAGAGTGAGTGTCGGCACCTGAGGGACTGAAGACCGTCCATGACCTTCTCCAGATCTACGTTGAGAGTTTAAATTCTGATCCTAAACATTGTTGTCCCTTTAAAGAGTTTTTTTTAATAGGTTAATATACTTACACATTGTTGTTTAAAGTTATAGCATGGCTAGCTGATAGAGCTGTAAGACAAACGCAGGGACATCAAGTTAAATTCTTGCAGCACGACAATCACAGATTGAGATTAATGACTTTAAACTTGAACAGTGACAACACATACCTGCCGTGGCCTGACGGGCGAATGCATTATTCCCCTGTGACAAGATACAGTAGAGGATTACAAAACGTCTTCAACTTTTAAATATGAAGCAAATAGCTCAATGTCTAGAACATTGACATCAAGAACAGTTGTAAGAAATAACATGTGACACTTTGCATGAAAGGCAATGGGAGTCAAAAAGAGGCTTGGGGTGAAAGGTCACGTCTACGAGCTCAAATATGACTTTAGTCAGGATCAATATATTTGTCCGCCACACACGGGTTTTTGCGGTTTTACAGTAAGACGCACGAGAAAATACATAATAATTTTAAATAATGTTTTAGCAGATCACATAAACAGCTGAATAATTTAACCGTTCGTCCTAACTTTAACGTTAATCTGACTGACAAGTACTTTGTGACAAGTTCCAACCTTTACAAACACTTGACTTTGCACCCTCAACAATGCATATTTACAAAAATACATCAACATATGACTTCCGCATTAAGTTTGCTAAAATGTTCCGTGTTGATTTTCCGAATTACCACAACATGACCTCAACATGACAGCTAGGAGCTCCTAGCTAACCTGTCCGTTCATTTAGCTACTAGTTAGCACCTGCTAGCCTGCTAGCCTCGTATAATTGTGTAGGTTTGTTTTAACTGACAATGGACAAGATACTTTGAGTCAAATACCTTTAACATTCATGTCATTAAGCGAGACCAGGGGCCCAGAAAGGGAAACGCCTTTTTAACTATCACACCGACAGCACCAGCACTCGTGAAGGGAAGTGTCACACTGTCCTTGGCTTACAATGTTACGGCCCGACCGTGGCCTAATGCTAATGCTAATGCTAATGCTAGCTCCGATAGAGCCGCGCACATAGCTTCGCCTCTTCGGGCAGCCGAAGGACGCGAAGAGTCCTGTCGTTGTGGCGACGGACCATCGTTTACTTGCATGTCGCCTACCTGACGGATGGCGGAGAGGGAACGGCCGAAATTTCTGGTGAGACACCGGCTATGGGATAACATGATGGCTGTGTGACAGCAGCCTGTCAGCGGAAAGGATCTCCGGTCACAGCGACAAGCCGGAAGAAGCTGGGAAGCATCGTGGGATAAACCAAGTGCGGAGGGGGGGGGGTCATTATGGTCCCGTCTGAATCCCTCCAGACGAACAGTGGACACTAAAGAATCCAAATTCTCAAAACTTAAAATAATTATTTAACCACTTTTACAGGCTACAGAGAACAGACAGAATAGAATATGAGTTTTCAAAGCTAACATTTCAGAAGTTTTATGGCATTAACTTCAACCCGAGGGTGTACATGATACATCCTTAACATTACATTTTTTTACAATTTACATTTTATTTATCATTTAACGTGATTCCTTTAGTTTGAACTCGTAATGCTTTTTTGTGCTTACTAAAAATGACTGGTTCAAGGATTGCAACATTAGTTTATATTGATTTGTGTAAGCCTGCGTGTACAACCACAATCAGAACTACTGACCCATCAATATCTCCCAGTCGCCTCAATTGTAATTTTCTACATTTCAATGGGCTTCAATCTGTCCGTTTCGGATCCCCCCTCCACCCCCCTTTTCAACCGCTGTGAGTAGTCTTTCACTCCAACAGCTGACAGACATGTTCCTCCTCTTGACACACTATATGCGGGTGATGCGCGTCCACCTCGTTGCCTTTGCACGTGGCCACGCCCCGCCTCCGTCCGGTGCCTCCGACTCTCCTCTCGTCTCCCGCGGTGCACCCGACAGTCTGCGCAGGCCGTCAGCGCGGCACCACGTCGAGGCGCAACAGGTAAGGTCCCGTCTGTGAGTGTGGATGATGTACGTGCACCCCTGAAGCTCGCACCACTTCAAAAAATTCATCACTTTTGGCGTTTTTTTTGTGTTTTATGAAACTCCCACGCGTGTTTTTACAGCCTGCAGCTGAGAATTACAATCTAATGTTTGGTGAGTTGTTTTTATTTTCAAGTTATCAAGGGTTTATTGTATTGTTCAGTTTTTAAATTTTTTTAAATTTTTTTAAATAGTTTCTAAATTTGTTTTCAAATAAAAAAATAATAATTTCTCCAGTAAACATTTGCTTATTAAACATTTTTCCACAACAAGTAACTGCATGTTATACTTAAAGGCAACTTTGAAACTGCGAAGAAGAGTAAAGAATACACTGGAATTAATCATATACTGTTCACAGGTAATAGGGCAATTTAAAGTACAAACTTTGCTTCATGGGGTATCATTTTTAATTAAATCAAAAGAAAGAAGTATAGACTTAGTTAATTGATGTAGAATCCACTGACAGAGAAATAAAAATGGTATATTGTCTTTTTCAACTTCATCTGTTTGGATCATTCAACTCATGTGAACATATTAGCTAAAGAAAAAACGTAAAAGGAATGAAAATGAAATAAGTGACCATCAGAGCTTTTGTCTGTTTCTTACTAAGATCATCTTTTGATAATTCCTCTAGATGCCTCGCAGAAAAAAGCTTTTCATGATACTCCTGTAAATAATGTACACACAGCCGTTTCTGGTCCGCGGTGATCTATTGCTTTCAGAAGCTGTAATTTGTGAATTATAAAGGTGGTTCTTTTATCCTTTGTGTTGTCCGTTATTACAACCCCGAGATGAAATAACACAAAATAACGCACTCCCTTATTGCGTAAGATTGAGGATTCATTTTTTCTCTCTTTTTTCTTCTTCAAGAGCTCAACAAATAATGTAGTATTCTTTCTGTCATATGTAATTTTAATTCTGTTTTTTCTTGTTAAGTCAAAGTGTAATTTAAGGTTTTCTAAAGAGACATCTATTAAATTAATCTGATCGTTACTCAACAGAATGTATTTCTTTTTAAAGCAGAAAGAGACGTTACAGGATATTACATCACTGTTTATTTAAATGCCACTTTTCAAAAACAGGCATATAGACTAATAACATTCAAAACATTAAATAAACAATTTAAGAAATACACATACATAAATTAAGAACAATAATGTGGTAGAGCATTTAAAAAACATTTCTGTTCATCATCTTAATTGTGTTTTGGATTTCTGTTTTTTCAGATTATTGCATTTCATTACACTGACTGTGCAGCCGAAAGCAAGTTTTTCTCACTGAGCCTGAAGCTCCGCATTGCCGGCGAGAAAGATGCACAACTCCAGCGAAGGCTGCCTGGAAGACGACAAACCCGACGTCATGCTGCCCTGCTTCCGAAGAAACATGTACGAGGAGCCTCTCGCCCTGTACTCCAACGGATCCATCATCTCCCAACTCCGCAAGACAATCCACAACAAGCGGGCACTAGATGAAAGCCTTTTCTACCTTTCCAGCTCCACTGCCGCCGACTCCGGTCAGGAGGACCAGTGCAGCGTCTCCTCAAAGGACAGCACGGTGGAAGCTCAGTCTCCCAGTGCCCACGTCGCTACTGGAGCCAGCGCGGAGGCAGAGCATCCCGTGCCGGACCACCTGCAGGCCAAGAGGGCCCGAGTGGAGAACATTATCAGGGTCATGGCGGGCTCTCCCAACAGCAGGCAGCATGGAGACAGCGAGAGGTCCGACACAGACGCCAGAGAGGCCAGAGAGGCATACAGGGAGAACAAACGCAAGCAGCGGTTGCCCCAGCATCAGGAACACAGTGCAGCAGGACCGGCAAACAGAAGACCCGGAAGCAGCAGCAGCAGCAGTGACAACAACTGCAACACCAAGGACGAGGAGTGTCACAAGCTGAAGGAGCAGCTCCACAGCATGCAAAGGCTCCTGCGTCAGCTCCAGGAGAAGTTCCTTCAAGTCTACAACCAAGAAGACCCCGAACACAACGGCGGGGACGAGGCAGAAGTCGCTGTTGATGTAAGCACTGAAGACGAGTTGGACAGGAAGAACAGCAGAGTGACTGCAGAGTGCGGGGACCGAATGAAAGCACAGAGTAATGTGTCACACCAGAGGGAAAGTCCGAACCTGCAGGAAGCCCTGAAGAAGGAGCTCTCCAGGGCCGTGAATGACTGCGTGGACAGGGTGTTCAAGAAGGTGTCCTCCACGGGGCTGGATCTGTCCCCCCAGCAGCGCATGTGCTCGTCTCCAGAGGTCAGCGCGGGTGCAGACGGGAAGAGCCAGCGGGCCGGCTCCACACAGGAACAGCCCCAGGACCAGGAGGCGGCGGCGAAACCCCGCTCTTTGGAGTACTATGAAAGTTCCAAGGCGCATAGCCCGCAGGACCAGACGGAGGCGCTGTCGCTGGTGGTCCGCAAGCCGGCCGTGGCCCCCCTGAGCTCAGTCACCCCGACCGTGAAGAGGCCCTACCCCGTGCACCAGACGCCGTTTCAGTTCAACTACAGCACCCCTCTGCACGACAGTCAGATCCTAGAGCATCTCCTTAAGTACGGGCCCCATTCCAACTTTGGGGTTCTCCCTTGCATGCCCCCGTCAATGGACAGGACCTCCCCAGACTCGGTGGACCTGCCCTGGGACACCATCGCCATGAGGTCCAAGGTGACACCCGGCCACCTGGGCCACCACGCTCGCGCCTCGGCCCTGGGGGCGGTGACGGTTGACAACCTGTGTCTCCCTCACGTCAAGATCGAGTGCGGCGAACTGCAGGGCATGGCGGAGCGAAACCCCTACATGTCCCTCAACATATCCTTTCGTTTAAAAAAGAAATCGCTTGAGGGAAAGCGCCTTCGGGTTGTGCTCTTTCCTAATGCAGGATATAGAAATATAATGTTTAATAATGACAACAAAATATTATTTATATTTTCTTCTAATATGTAGGTGAAAATGCAGTGACTTGAAAAACAACTGTAAAAATACAAAGCAGCTATTTTTAAATGATTACATTTTATATACCTTTATTTAGTTATTAAAAATTGACTTTTGCAGTGAGACACTTGTCACATCATAATATTCTATAGCATGGTTTGTTTAATAATATCTCAGACGTAGTATATTCTTTCTTTTTATTATATACAAATCCTTATATTCCAGCTCTTCTATTCAAACAATGGCTGGTTGGGCTTTAATGCAGCACGGGCAGTGCTGCAATAACTTCAAGGAGAATTTTTTCTTTGATCTAGCTAACCCCATAGAAAATTATAGCGTCTTCTTTAATCTGAGCAGAGTAATGACTTTAAGTTTAGAAAAAGACAAATAAAAAGGAATACAAGGCTTTGATAAGAATTGCCAGGAACAAAAGCCAATTTTTCAAAGGCAGAGAAAGCATCGGTTTCTGTTTTAGGAAGCGTCGTTTTTTTTTCAGACTTGAAAAGGTGGATCTATTTCTCCATCATCAGAGTGATAGGGGTGCATCTAAAAGGTCACATCTGAGTGCTGGTGGAAGCCAATAGTGCCTCCCAACCATAACACTTGAGCTCTTGTCTTGAGCATTTGTTGTTGGATACCTTTGTCAGAATGTACATGATTGAAATAGAGTGCAAGATAACAGTTTTTAAGCCTACAAGAAAATCCCTCTGGGAGAAGTTGTTCTGTTCTACAGGGTGAGAATGCGTTATTTCTTTTTTTTTAGCGCGTGTTTGCTGACATTCATATCAGATCATTTCTGCATTGCATCATTCGTCGTCTAGATTAATTGAAATAAATAATCCCTTCACCGTCGGCCTTTGTAAGGTAAATCATCCTAAAATGTTGCCTCTCTTGTTGCGACGCATTAGATGAAACTATTATGTGGTGCCTCTCAGATTCGCTTTATCTTTAAAGAGCAAAGAGCTCCGCTTCTCTTTGAACAATACCACATAAATCTTTCATCCCAACTTCCATATTTCAAAGGTAGGCTCCCCTAATAAATGTATGACGTGGTGACCTGACGGGGAAATATTATGACCTAAGGCGGGGTGGTGGACTACAGAGGAAATGCTCCTGAGCATCAGAGAGAAGCTTGAGAAGGTGTTGAATTCATTGTTGATTTTTGAGGAAATATCGGTCCATGTGGAAATTGCACACTGTTTGTTTTTATAAAATTACCACTAACTGTGAATCTGTAACCTTTTACTTTTTTGTCACGTTTAGCAAATTTCCAATTTCCCGAAAAAAGAAAATACAGTGCCATATGTCTTCTTTAAATCAACTTAATTATATCAGAAAATCGACTCCTTTTTTCCCCAAAAACATTTCAAAACAAGCTGCCTTAACTGCCAGGCATGAAGTGCTTCGCGCTCTAATTAAAAATCCCTAATCTAATTCGTAATTCTGTTTTGCCAATAAGCACATGTTAGGGTCATTATTGACTCCCTGGTTAATGCCGAGCTGTTCTTTGGGGAAATTCAATTTAGCTGAAGATCGAGGCAACACAATACTCCGGTCTGCTGCCACTGCGCACAGAACTTGATGCTGTGTCTGCTGTATTTAGTTCTTTTTTTTTTTTGTTGCCTTAACTTCAATGTGAACATCCAGGAGGGCCTCACCCCGAGCCATCTGAAGAAGGCAAAGCTGATGTTCTTCTACACCCGCTACCCCAGCTCCAATGTGCTGAAAACCTTCTTCCCCGATGTCAAGGTAATTTCTTTACATTTTTTTTTTACCAGGTCAACAACCCGCAGGATTGTTTGTCCCGTGTTTAACTCCCCGGCATCGACTTGTCAGTGTGTGTTTGGGACGGAAAAATCAGCAGTGTGTCGGAGGAGAGAAACAAAAAACGCAGAGGGTTTAAATAACAAAGCCGCTGAGCTGCTAGTATGTCCTGGGGGGGGGGCAGAGGGAGATACGGGGGCATTCTCTCTTTAAAAAAAAGCCACTCCAGTCAGCAAATGGAGTGACAAAGGACTCTGTAGGCAAGGCATTGCTATTGAGTGTCAACAGAGAGTTGGTATTAGACTTGTGCGGCAGCAACCAGGCGGCGTTGAGCCGGCCCTAAACACAACATCCTGTGTGTTTTGGCCTTGGGCTCGTGTCACGCCTCCTCCTCTATCTCCTCTTTTTGTCTTCTCTCTCTTGTCTCCCCATCTGTCTCTCTGTTTCCCGTCGTTGGCTCTTCTCATAAATCAGATTCATCTCCGCTTCCTTTGCTTTTAGTCTTTTCCAGTAATGTCACAAACTCCCAATGCTCTTGTCGAGTTTCTCCTTCCATCCCCTATTCCATCGGCTCTCCTTCCACCGCGGGTCCTGGGCTTCTCGGAGCCAGTGCGGGCCCCTGCCTCTCAATCTGACCCCCGGGGGGTCAGGGGGGGTCATGGGTTGGGGAGGGGGAAAGCTGTTGCTGCAGCTCTGCGGACGTCTCCTCCTTGCTTACAATCCCGCGGTGGGAAGTGGCGGCGAACAAAAGAGCACCTAATCCCAGTGTCTGATTCCATCCTATCAGCCCGAGTCAACGAGAGGGAAGCTTCCTTCTGTCCTTACGCCGCCGCTTTCTCACCCAGCGCACCAGAGAGAAGAAGCGTCTTTGATGCCGGCGCAGCCCTTGGGCATTTTTTCCTGTCTTTCTGGATGAGGAGATAGAATAACAAGTCTAATACCAAGACTGAGTTTAGAAACACAGAGCCCCGACAGACGTTTTTTCACCCTGGACATTGGTGGGAAAAGCTCAGAGCATTTAACGTCACGTAGAGCGACAGACCATTTGCTGCCATTTGGCCCTACGGGTACAAATGATGGGGTTCAGTCAATTATGGAACGGGAGGCGGCAGTTAATTATTTTCTAAATGAAAAGCATTCATATTTTTTAAATTTCTGCTCTAATTGATGTCTGAAATTGAATTGCATATATCTTTTGTCTTAAAAAGGAAGATCCCTGCTTTCATTTCCCTTAAGGTCAGAAAAGCCCTTTTCGGAGCTGACGGGGATTCATTGCTTTGCTCAAGGACAATCTATTTGGACAGATTTCCACAAATTTGTAGATTGTATATATGTTTTTTCTCTCTCCAGTTCAACCGCTGCATCACCTCTCAGCTCATCAAGTGGTTCAGCAACTTCAGGGAGTTCTACTACATCCAGATGGAGAAGTTTGCCCGGCAGGCCATCGTCGACGGCATCAGCGATGTGAAAGACATGACGGTCAGCAGGGACTCAGAGCTGTTCCGGGCACTGAACATGCACTACAATAAAGCCAACGACTTCCACGTAAGTGTTTAGTCATTCCACCTCTATGTGGCTGGTTGTGTTTGCTTTCGTCGAGATGATTCTGACCTGCTGAGCTCGTGCATTCCGTATGTACAATGTGTGCAACGGATGAACCGGGTTTCCTTAAACCAAAGGAACATATTTAAACTTTTATTCTTCATCCACCACACATTTCACATTGGTGAACATCCCTTTATTTTCCTTCTGGCAGCCAGATTGATTTCTCATTGGTGTCAGTTCGGTGGGAACCCACAGCCACTAGCCGATGAGCTTAGCTTAGCATAAAGACTGGAAGCAGGGGGAAACAGCTAGCCCACCGAGGGCGACAAAACCTTCTAAAATATTTATTAAACGTTTTTACATTTCGTAGCGGTTGTTCAGAAAAACATGTTGAATTCTTTGTTTCCTCTTCAAATCAAAATAGAGATATGAAGCTTTTAATCAGGGGGGCTGCGGGGGTGCGTATAGTGAGAGTGGAAGCAAGAGCGTGTTTTACAAAACCTCCAACTCTTCATCCACAACGTTGTCGTTGACGCATTCTTCACGGCAGTTTCCGACCTGCCAAAGTGCGTCCTCCTGTCACCGCGCAGTGACCTGCGTGTCACACCGCACCTGTGGCTGGCCGGGCCTCTGCGGCCATTATCTAAACTCCAGAGTGACGCTTTATCAAACTGTGGGAAGAGGAAGCCGCAAAATCCCACTAAAACAACTCAGGATTAGAGGACCGGCACGCCTGAGCGAGACTGAGATTGCTACTGATGCGGAATGCTGAGAAAGACGCTGTGGATTCCGAGGGAGAAGGCCGTTTGGTGGGAATGGGATGGGAGCGTTGTCTTTACCTTGGGACCAAGACATTCCTTTCCCAGGGCTGCTTTTGTGGCAGGAGATGAGGGGAAAGAAAAATAACTTGTGCCAACAACTGCTGTGTTAACTGGTCAGCGGATGGGAATCGAGGTCCGCAGGGCGGTTTTCTCCCAGCATCCCTCCTGTCTGGTGGGTTCTTACGGACGCCGCTGTAGTTATAGGCCCTAATCACAGGTTTATACCCAATCGTGTTAAACTGAGTTATTTTAATCTTCTGATCGGGATTCACACTGATGCTTTGTTGACGAACCCTGACAGCAAAGAAAGCCCAGAGTAGTTAGGTTAGGTTTAAGAAAACTAGACTCGCTAATGAAAGAGGCATCCAAATGATGGCAGAATTGCATTTATTGTATTTGTTCAGAGAACAAAGACACAAACTCGAGACACGTCTTTCGAGATACATTGTTCAGTACGCTCGAAACACAACATCACAACCAGCATTTTTTTAAGTCATTAAAATAGGATTTTACCTGGATTGATTCACCTAATTGGGTTTGCACTTTTTCCCTTTTTTCCAGGTTCCAGACAGATTCCTGGAGGTCTCTGAGGTCACCCTGCATGAGTTTTACACGGCCATTTCTGCAGCCAAAGATTCAGACCCCTCTTGGAAGAAGGCCATATACAAGGTGATCTGTAAACTGGACAGTGACGTCCCGGAGGAGTTCAAGACATCTTCCTATTTATAGGCGGATGAGTGGATACTTATAACATTGAAGGAACATTTAGTCACTAACAATTCCAGAATCCTCCTTTCTTGTAGTGCTTTTTAGTGAGGTGAGCTGTAGATGTTGGATAATTAATCATTTTTGTATTTGTAAAAACACACACATACGCATTGTTTTCGATATAATAAGTTTTAAAATGCTGTATGTTGTACTTTTACAAACAACCAATTGTTGTAAAACATTAATGCGCCTGTGGTTTATTCTATGGTTAAGTGTTTACTTGTATAATCTGCCTCAACGCATTTAGAGAGTTGCTGAGTTTGTAGGTGTGTAAAAACGTGTTATCATGACGCCAGCCTAGCCGGGTTTAGCTGAACTGGAAGAGGGATTTTTTTAGGGGGGAATTACGATCAGTATTAGTTTGCGTTTGACTCATTTTTATTTCAGAGCTGTGTGTTCTGTACATGTGCTGATGTTTTGATGTTGCATAGTTCTACAATTCAATAATCATGTTGTAAAATGTGCATGTGGAAATAATGCAAGCGACTGTTGTGGGTTTTATTATCTTGTATAAAAGTTCATGTAAGGTACGATCGTTTTCAGATATTTCGCTCATCGACACTGTACTGGATGATTATTAAAATGAAATATGCACTAAATTATAATATACATTCTGTGTGTTATGGTTCCCTCTGATGAAGCTCTCACATATTTCAACATTTAAAGAAAACAAACACAGTAAAAGCTTTGTTTTTTTGTTGCAATGGTTTAACTCTCCCTGTGAAAATACCGCGAGCCAGTGCCGTGCCCCTAAGGTGCCTCTAATCCACGTCCAGCAGCCAGCAGTTTAAATGCCCCCCAAACTATGCCGTTCACATTGTTCACCGAAGCCAATTCAAGTCAACTTTCTAAGGCCTGCATTCATTGTGTGGCTGGTGCGGATGCGGACAACTGCCATGTCTTAAAAACCGCCACAATGCATTCCCTCCTCATGACTAACGCCCGAGGTGACCTCATATCACAGTTTGTGCCACCGAAGCAAAATTCCACAAACCCGTTGACTCTTTTCTTCTCTTTCTTGTCGGTCTGCTCGTCCGGCACCGGATTTTGCGGATATAAACCACAAAAAATCGCAGGAGTGAATTAAATGCGATGAATTCGAATTTTTCGTATCGTGAATGAACCGCGTTAATGTTTCTGGCACATTTAAAACCGTTATTTTGCGTTTGCATTTTAGAACAAAAGCAACAAGGTGCCTTTGAAATAATGAGAATACAGACGGGAATGCACAACAAAGTTGGCCACTTTTACAAACGTACCTTGTTTCTTATCACTAGACTACATTGTCAGTGCGCAAAACCAAACATTTAATAGGAAAAGCAATTAGGCACCCAAGCACCAATTACATCAGAAATGATAACATTAAGGAAATTAAAACAATAGTTGAATTGGTTGATGACAAAGACTGGAGACAATAAACCCCACTAATCTTTTAATAGATATTTCTTTTCAATTAGATCTGTCTTCTTCAGTAAATTGATTTACATTCTCTAACGCAATTAAAAATGCCTCTGGTAGAACCAAAGTGCTTTAATCAAATTAATTTGTTGTGTAACATTTTCGGAACAAGACTTGGTGACCTCTGATATGATGAAAGAAAACAAGTGAAATGCCTTCAGTCTGTTCCACTGCCTCTGGCTGACAAGGCTTCAACTCAAACGGGCAATATGAAATTATGTTCTCTACGGTCAAAGATAAAACACAGTAATGAAGATGAAATGAAAAGTGAAAGGCGACAGGAAATCTCAAACAAACACCGTGTTGGAACAGATGCGTCGTGTCGAGCTTTTAACATCTTTAAAATGAACATTCCAATTGAACAGTTTTTAAAGGAAGCCTTTAGTTTTTTTTCAGTCGCACACTGACGGAGAGCAAATTAATTGACACCAATCGCTTAGTTCTGGTAGTTAAACAGAGTAACAGCATCATCTAGTGAGTCTCTGCTGTAGTGCACACAGCTCGGACGGCCTCGCACTGCCACGCGCTTTGGTGTCGACAAACTGTTTGGATTTGACATTCTAGCCAATCGCTGGTCTTCTTTCACCATTAAATCAATTTTAAATCAGCTATTAAATACCATCGGATTCAGTACGAGAGTCTCCACAGAGAGGCGCACTTGTCGCTGTGCAGAGAAGGGAACTAGTTTCTTCCTCCCAGCCAGGACACTTCAGGGAAGCGAAAACTGTGAAATATTTCATAATTGTCAACATCGTATTTTTTATACATTTGAGGTTTAAAAAAAGCGTGACAACGTGTGTGTGTGTGTGTGTGTGTGTGTGTGTGTGTGGTGTGACATTAATAACTGAGCGTCTCCTCAACAGGGTCCTGGAGAGACTGAGGCAGGATCAAACACCCCTGAGCTGCAGACAAAAGCAGCTGGGAGACTGGGGGGGGGGGGGGGGGCGCGTTGGGACGGTTGCTCTGTTTAATCTCCCACTCACAGCTCTGGGAGGGCGCAGGGAGCAGTGGGGAGTGCAACTTGAGAATGGAGACCGCTGACTTTAGGCTGCCCTTCAGACAATCACTTCTTGGTGTAGTTTGGTGTGATCACCAGTAAATCTTTATTAATTTTAATTGGAGCCCCCATTTAAAAGAGCAATTAAAGCGGATTAATCGAGCCCATCCCGTATAATGTCTTCTGTTAATTAGTTTGTCAGCACTGTTTTAATATCGCTTAATGACTTCATATTTCAGGGATGACATTAAAGGGATGCTGAAGGAAAAGAAATGGCCTTATCACAATGCGCTGCTTTAATGGGAGATGTCCCCCACCAGTGGGCAAGGTCAGGCCCCGGGGCCCCGCTGGGGAGGAAGAGGCTTCGGGGTGGCACAACAGCAGCCGCCTGCAGGGACACGGTGCCGTATTCACACTGCCACGTAGTCCGTGCTGTACAGAAGCTCTGCACCGCTCACACAGTCTACTAATCATTCTGGGAGAACTTTTAATGGAGAACTGTCGAATTCCTTTTTTTTGTGCCCTTTTTCCTTGTCTATTTCGGAGGATGATGGGAAAGTTCAGGGAAAACAGATGGAGAACAAAACGACTCAAAACTCTCAGGTCAGAATCCCCAGAATGTTTCATCACACCAATTGCACTGCAGGCAAGCAAGCAAGCCAACGCAATACTGCGCAGCGTTTAAAATCGTAATACCTTCAAATCAACGCTGACTGACAAAGCAGTGGTTTATGAAATGGGTGCAATGCACCCCGGCATTACCGCAGGGATAATCCAAGAGTGCATCCGTAATCAGCAATCAGCTACACCGTCTGTGGCTGGCAAACTGTGGCATGCTTGAAAAAAAGAGCTCAGATTCAGTCTCTCCTTTTCAATTTCCAAAAACCGACAACTTGGTGTGACGCACGTCGATTCTGGGTGATTCAGAACGTCCCAATGTTACTGCACTTTGTGCTAAATTCAGTCCATGTTCGTTGTATACCTTCCACCGAGATATTCGTTTTGTGGGTTTGTTTAAATAGATTCTGTAATGTAATGTAATGATAGATTCAAACATACATGCATGATGTCATTCTAAATGTAAAGGGTGTCCGTGCACGGGAGACAGGAACATGTTCAGGAAAACAAAAAAACAAAGCTGAGCTTTCCCACCTTTACCTTTACCTGTTATGCTGTGATTACTCCCTTTGATGAAATACCAGATGTTTAACAGAAGCATGCTCCCCTCGCAGCTGACACTGAGCCAAAGGTGGCCCCGGCAAGCAAGAAGTTGCTAAAAACCAACAGCACATCCTCCTTATTGCAGCCCTGGCTGGCGCGCATCCCTGCTAATTTGAGTGTGCCCTCGCACCTCCACTCATCTCAGCAGATTCATAAATCTCATTCCCATTATCCCGCTAATTAGCCGGGATTACAGGAGCATGTAATGCCCCCGCTTCCCGATAGATTGATTGGAGGACGGTCTCTTTGTTTTGAAATCACTTCCTGATTGATGTACAGAGCCCTAGTTTGCAATTGTAATGGCCCAGATGTTAACAATCAAATGCGTTTCCGCTCCAGGAAGTAACAGTCTGTCATGGAAGAGGGGCCAGCCGAGCGTGTAACGACACATCACGGGAGTGTGGGGTAGGAGGGGCGACGGAGGAAGGGGATGAGGGGGGGTTGCTACTGAGGAAGGGCATACTGTCCATGCCAATACATCCATCTGACGTGCTTTGGGTGGCTTTTGGTAGAAAACAAATTGTTGGCTCTCTGGTGCTTTATTCTTATCTGTATTTTTTTTTTTATTGCCCAAACTGGCCCTTTAATTGTTCTTAAAGGATGGCCTCTGAAAGGCCCCTCCCTAGTTTGGTCATTGTAATTAGAGGGGCCGGTTAAACGCTCACATGAAACAGCCTTTGAAAAGCCGTCCTCTCTGCAAACAGCAGAGGGCACTATTGTCTAACCAAACTGACTCCTTTGTTTTCCTCTTCATTTATTTATTTTTTTTACCCATCATCAATAAATCACTTTCCCAGATAGTTAATGGATATAGAAGCAGATCATGAGTGAGCTATCTGCGGGGTGATAATTTAAGTGAAGATCCCCGCACTGATTGCGCAGAAAGGTTATTTATTTCAACAATAATGCAGGACAAAGAGGGAATCTGGGCGAGATTACCAGCTAGGCTACGCTACAGTGCTCATCTCCAATGGAGCAGCGTGTAAATTGGGTTCACTTTCCCCAATGAAAATACAGACTGCAGTTTATTTCAACTTTATGCACATGGAAGTCTGTGCTTCCCTGTCAAGGGTGGCTGGGGACGGAGAGAGATGGCGGTTCATGTGAGGGGAGGGTGGGCTTAGTCCTTGAAAAATGCCCCTTTTGTCCCTGAGTCTCTGGATGGCTGAACTATTAAGGTATGGTCCCCTGTCCGCCTGTTTCCACTCTCCTCTAATTCTAAGCGCAACAAGGAAATGATCGGAAGCATGTCGGCCTGAATAATGGACGGAATAAGCACGCGCTCCTAAATGGGACTCGGGTGAACTCTTTGTTTCTGCCTTTGTGTGCGTGTTTGTGTGCGCGCATGTTGTGCACACAGTGGAGCTGGCCGCTATTGATTGACTGTGTTGGTGGAGAGCCTTAGGGCACAGAAGCCAGCTCGGCACAGATACTCCAGTTCTCCCCTCATGCAGAAAAATGCATGATTAAGGCCCAACCGACATGTCTAAAACGTCCTGGAGAGAGAAGAGGAAATAGCTCCATATGCTGCCCCATGTGGTCACGGCATCCTGAAAGTATGGCGCGGCTCACTGTCTGATTCGGCACCACTTCCAAAAAGCCACCGACCACCAGGCTCCACAAACAATGCACTAGTAAACACACGCCGCGGGCCTAGCATTGGAATTTAAAAGCCGCGGAGTTCAAGTCTCGGCTCACTTTTAGTGGCACACTTTTTACATGTCTGTCATGCTGCGGGCTTTCAACCGTGCTGTCAGCCAAGATGTGACACGGATCCAATGCTGTGTGAGATATAACCATTGGGTAAAGGATTGGAGCCCCTGAGCTGCATGATAAGCACTGTCAACGAGACATAACATATGTATCTATGCTGTGCTTTGCCTAACGCTCCAGCAAGCTGTGCTTGACTTCACCTGGGGTGG